ATTGTTTTTTTAAAATTTTGAAGGTTTTGAAAGTTTTGATTGTTTATTTAAAAAAAAAAAAAAGAATTAGGATCCTTTTGGGTTTTTTTGTCGTTTTAGATTTTTTGTATGTTAAAATTAACCAATCCCCATTTAATTTTTAAAACCCTCCCGAAAATAAAAGCCATTTCCCCTTTTTTTTCTAAATTTTTTTTTTTAAAAAGGGGAGGTAAAAAAAAAAAAAAAATTTAAAAAAATTCCAAAAAAAAATAAATCCGGAAAAAAAATTTAAAAAATTTTAAAAAAATTAATTTTTTTTTTTTCAATTTTTTTCCTTACTTTTTTTCCAACCATTTTATTTATTTGAACTTTTTTTTTATTTAATTAATATAATTTTTATAAGAATTTTCTATAGATTTTAATTTTTTTTTTTTTTTTTTTTTTATTTCCAAAAAAAATGATTTTTTTTAATTAAAAACTTTTTTTCAAATAAAATGCTTTTTAAATTTTTTTTATCCCCCCCCAATTTTTTAATTTTTTTTTGTAATCCAACAAATAATTTCCCTTTTTGTTTTTCGTCTTCGTTTTCCTTTTTTTCCCAATTTTTTTTTCACCAATTAAATTAAATTAAAATTAGGTAAGGGTGGTGTGGGGTTAACCTTTTTTTAAAAAAAATTAAAATAAATTAAATTAAAAAAAAAAAAAAAAAAAAAAAAAAAAAAAAAAAAAATGCATTTAAGTTATTTAAACGAATATTAAATATTAAAAGTCATAAAGATAATTTGGGTGGGGAATTTATCTACTACCTTATATCAAAGAAATAATTCATAGTTTTATTTGAATTAAATTCATTTAAAAATTAAAAAAAAAAAATTAAAATTTAATTAAAAAAAAAAAAATAATAAAAAAAAATTAAATTTTTAATAAAATATTTTTATATAAAAAAAAAAAAAAAAATTTATTAAACATTAAATAAACAAATAAATAAAATAAATAAATTAATAAATTAATAAATAAAAAAAAACCAATAATAATACAATACATAATAAATTTTTTTAATAATAATAATTAGCATTTTTAATATTAATAATAAAATAATAGAAATATGGGTTTTATAAATAGAAAGCAATTATCAAATTCATTAAGATATATCGGCGTTGGTGTCAAAAGAATACCAAGAGTTATAAAAGAATTAAAGAGAAAAGGATTCCACTTTTTTGGATTGGTTATACCTATTATATATATTTTAGGCTTACATTATACAACATTTATGACCAGAGGATTTGCAGTTAAATTATTGGGATCAATTACACTAGGATACTTTATTTGGGAACAATTAAGATTAAATGTACCAGCAGTCAGCGAATTTTGTGTTAAAATGTATGGCCATATGATGAGGGAAAAAGAAAAGGACAGAATGAATGGCGTTTTCTTTTACCTCTTGGGCAGCACAATATGCATATACTTTTTCCACCCCCTTATCGCAGTTTCAAGCATGTTATTTTTAATTATTGGGGATTTCACTGCAGCTTTAGTCGGTATTTCTTATGGTAGAACCAAAATTGGAAACAAATCATTAGAGGGCACCATGGCAATGTTTTTAGTTTGTTTTGTTTTAAGTTTTGCAATGTTTTTCAATCAATCTTTAGGTGAACATATAGCTTTTTGGGGATCACTCGTAGCAACTCTTGTAGAATTATTCAATCCATCATTCGTCGACGATAATTTAACCATTCCAATTATTGGGGCTATTGCCATGAAATATATGACCGTAAGATTGGGCGTAGAACTTCCAGTATATAGTAATTCTTTATAAATAAATAAAACAAATGTAAAATAGATTTAAACAAATAAAATTAAATAATAATATGGTCATAATATTTTTCATATTATTTTTTCTATAAAAAAAAAAAAGATAATTAAATTTTTATATTGTATATTATTGTTTTAATTTAGCTTTCCAAGTTTAATTTGGTTAATTTTAATTTTAAATGATTCTCTATGTCTTTTATATATAATAGCAGAGATTATAATTATGCAAACAATGCCCACAATTGGTACAACTATTACAACAGGTAAGAACCAAGCTTTTCTACCATTGTCACATTGATTTTTATAATTTGGAGATATTAATAATGAAAAATCTATTTATAAAAACAAAAAATTAAAATATTAGAATATATGTGATATTTTTTTAAAGTGTATTTATAATTACCTGGATCTATTAAACATTCGTCGCAGTGTGGTAAATTTATACCTAGATAAACCAAATCATTATTGCTTTGATCTAAAAGTTGGGTAGTGATAAATACTGTGTGATTGTTGCTCATTGCTTTATCTTGGAAACGGCCATAAAAGAGTTTACCTTTATTTTCGATTTTGAGGTAGTTTACAGATTCGCTAATAGAGTTACTATTGGATGATGATTTAATCTTAATATTATCTTCGTTGCAATTATTTGATTCTTTGGTTAAGTTTTTATGATAGTTTGTAACCATTACAATTTGAAGTACATTCAATACACTTGTGTATTCCCAATCATTTATTGAAATAGACATTTTAATACCACCACTTTCGACAGTAAAGTTGTTTCCAGCAAATTCAAAGTTTTTATCTTTATCACCAATCTCTTCAATTGTTAATATTATGGTTGCATTGTTTATGATTTGGATGAATGAGCTTATTTCATTCGACTTTTCCTTATAAATGGACCAATTTCCAATTGATTTCGATTGTACAATCCTGTTTTCTATATCGAGCTCTCGAATTGAATCGATTGATATTTTGAAATCCGATTCTTCATTTGATAATATTACATTTCCATCTGTTACATTGGTTTCTGTTTTTGGCTCTTCTATATTTGTGTCATTCTTTATTATAACTGAACAATCTAAACCTTTAAAACCTGTATTACAAAGACAACTGCCACTCGATAGGCATTTTCCATTACTTGGTGATGTACAATCATTTGGACATAAGATAACTGGATCGTAATATGGATAGATTTTACCCAACCAAACTAAATTATTTTGTGTTATGTTAATTGATTTTAAACCACTTCCCGCTGGGATGGTGCAATTAATTGCCTCGGAGCTAACACTATTGACAACACAGTTGTTTGAACCAATTTTAACTGAAAGCTCCTTATTTTCAGTGCCAAAGTAACCATTTAATATGATTGGACCTCCTTGTGTGGAAAGAACTTGGGAATATGAGGTTAAACGATGGTTTGGAATGGAACAAACATTATCACCAACTGTAGTATATTTGTCATCGCATTTACATTCTCCGGTATCATAATCGCACACACCATTTCCGTTGCAAACTGGTGAAGGGCATATAGTACTTGTAAAATTGAATAGAGTGTCTAAAAATAAACCATTAACATCAACTCTAAGAAAATAAAATCCTTGAAGTTTTACTGGTAATGGTAATTTGCATTTCATAGCGTTAAAAGAGGTTTCATAAACTGTGCATGTCAAATTTTCAACTGTTATAGAAACTTCTAGCGGATTATAACTATAATAAAAGCCCTCAAAAGAGAGGATGTTTTTGTCTTGAGTAATAGCAGTACTATGTGGACGAGATCCCCTTAAACCAATGGTAAATGAAATATCTGGTATTGTCCAATGAATATTCATTGTAGTTAAAGCTGATGACACACCCGAAAGATCCCCAATAAATCGATTTTTACCCTCTCTTACAAAAGGAATAGATGGTGTTGATATAATATTGTCTGCATAATAACCAATATTTTTCCCAGTAATAATTAATTGCTTATCTACAATAACTGTAAACTTTGGTACAATAGTATCTAGTTTGTTTTATTTTATTTTTTAAATAGAAAAATTAGTGAGCCTAAAGTATATCTTTGGAAAATGAAAAAATTCTATATAGTTACCATATGAGCTACAATTTACTAATTTGTTCTGTAGATTAGTATTTCCAGTAAATAAAGAAGAAACTCTGCTATCATCAAAATAGCATTGAAAACATGGTGGTACAGATAAAATGTCATTATATATAATATATATTGGTATGCCACACCATGATTCATCAAGAGAGTTTGTAAATTTATTATTTGATAAATCAACGTTTGAAAAATCCACATCTGCAGCAATTGGTGGTAGTGTTCCCTCGGTACCCAAAGCAAATAAGATCAAGTTTGAAACATTTTTAAAAATATTAAAATCTGGTGCAATTGGCATTACTCCATTTGTTATATAAAGTTCTGAAAGTTTTGTTTTGGGAAGTCTCAAAGGAAAATTTCCATTTACATTAAAGCCTGAGCCTGGATTGTGAAATGCTCTATTTAAAATTAAAAGTTAATATTTTTATACACGCTATGGTTTGATTTAAAGATTTAAATACTTACAATGCACATTCATTTACTATATTTGAAAAATCAATATAGTCATTGGTTGTAATTTTAATATTATCAAAAGTACTATAAAAAATTAAAAAAGACTGTATTAGTGTGTTGTTTTAAATGTATTTAAAACCACCTTGGTTTTTATAATTCTTACATTTTACTATAACTTGGGTTTAAATTTTCTGCTAATTTTTTAGGAAATGGAATTGTTAAACTATTATCAGTATTCCTAAATGTCATTACTGAAATCTGAGTAAATGAATAAAAATTATCAAAAGAATTGACATCTGCAGTTTTTAAAATATCAAAATCTACCTCTTTTAATGATGAAATATAAAAAAGGTTTGGTATGGATTTGAGTGCTATTTCTATTTTTTCTAAATTACCCAAAGAATTATCGTTTGTATCGACTTCTAAATAGCTTGGATTTGGATATTTTGAAGTTGAGGGCGAACGGCTGAATTAAAAAAATTAGTAAAACTTTTAGAAAAATAAATATATTTTAAAGTAATATACTTACAATTCCTTTACACGTTTAATAAAAGATGATTTAATTGGACCAAGTAAACCTCCAATATAAAAATAATCCAATGGGGGTATATCTGATATAATACTAACTAAATTTGAGGTAACTATTTCTCTATCATTATCAAATAGATAAATTAATAAATAGCTTTATAATTATAAATATTATACTGTATATTGCTTACAATCTTTTAATTGTTGGGGGAATCGATGAAATAAAATCCTGTTGAATTACCAAACCAAGACCTCTGAGTGAAGTAAGGTCAGTTAAACATGTTAATAAATCCCAATATAATGTACCTGTACTTTGACTAACTTCTCTGTATAATTATATAGTTATAATTTAAGTATTTAATTTTTATATAATGTTAATATTTTTACAAATTCTTAATTTACATTGCTAAAATTTTCTCATCCGAAGTGCATGCCGAAGTTGCTAATTTGCAAAAAGTTTGACCTATATTAGCATCATAATATCTTGGATCCCCTACAGTTTTTCCTAAGGTATTTAAACAAGTTACATCATTTGATGAAATATCTGATTTTGATAAATATATTAAATTGAACAAATAAAATAAAAAAAAATAAAATTTCATAATTTTTGAAAAACTAAATTAAAAAAATAAAAATATATTTATTTTTTTTACTTTTATTTGGTTTAAACAAATAAATAAATTGATTATTATTGAAAAAAAAAAATAAAAAAAAAAAAGCGAGACATCATAAACCAAAAAAAAAAAAAAAAAAATTTTAGAAAAAAAAAAGATATTTTATAGAAATAATATTCTTCTGTTTTTTGCAAATAGAAAAAACGTGTAAAAAATATTAAACAAAATTAAGATATCTTTTTTTTAATAATAACATTTTATTTAAATTATTTTATATTTTTTTTTTTTTTTTTTTTTTCTTTTTTTTTTTTTTTTTTTTTAGTTGAAAATATATATGGTTGATAAAATTTTTATAAAAGTAATAAATTGGTTGAAATTTAAATTATTTATTTCTTTTTATCTTTTTTTGATGATTCTTTCTTTTCTTTTTTATCTTCTTTCTTTTCTTTTTTATCTTCCTTCTTTTCTTTTTTTTCTTTCTTTTCTTCTTTCTTTTCTTTTTTATCTTCTTTCTTTTCTTCTTTCTTTTCTTCTTTCTTTTTGTCTTTCTTTGATGATTTTTCTTCTTTAGTATCAACTTTCATGGCGTCTTCATCTTTTTTATCTTTTTTGTCTTCCTTCTTTGATTTCTTTGATGATGATTTTTCTTCAACAGAGTCAGATTCTTTTCTCTTTTTGCTTGATGATTCTTTGACGACTGGTTTAACTTCTTCTTCAGCAAAATCTTTTTCAACTTCTTCAATGACTTCTCTCATGACATCTAAATTTCTCTTTGGAGCAACACCACTGTTAAAGAATTTGATTCTATCTTCAACTTGATTTTTAAGAGCAACACCGAATTTAGTTGAACCATTTTCACTGAAACAATCGATTCTTGAAGCAATTGAAATTTTATTTGAAAGACAACGAGCAATTCTACCTTTATTCTTTTGACTGTTCATAATGAAACTAGTGTTATAAATGATACCATATTTTGGAGTCTTACCACGAACTTTCATAGCACGGAAGAGAGCTTTTTCAGCACCAAGAATTTGAACAGTTGAAGCTGGGTATTTGGCGAGATTGGTTAATGAACCAGCACGTGAAATTAATTTAGCACCAATACGGTCACCAACTAAAGCAGCAAGATTTGGAGCAATATCATTCATTTTTTTGTTGAGGTATGAAACTAATTTACCACGGTATTCATCTAATGAGATAACACGATCAGCAAAGTTCATAACGGTTTCTAAATCGATTGGAGAGATATCACCACCCATTGAAGCTTTAGCGGCATTAAGAATTTCCTTGGCTTTAGATTCATTGTTATCAACGATTTCTTGAATTTCTGGTAATTGTTCGACAGTAAGATTTGCTTTGTTTTGAATTAACTTGGCTAATTTAGCAAAGTGAATGTTTTCTTCAACAATTCTTAATAATTCTGGGAAATGCCATGAGTACCATTCTCTAACTCTCATGTGGAATGTATTTAAATCTTTATCTAATTGTTCTAATAAACAAATTGATTGAATAACCATGTTATCGACTTTGTGAACGTTGAATTTAACTTTAGATCTAGAATATGAATGACCAAGACCTAATTGAGCTTTAATTAAATCTGTATCTTTTAATTTAGTATATTGAGAAATGTGGTTTCTAATACATCTAATAATTTCCTATAAAATTTAAAAAAAAAATAAAATAAAATAAAAAGTTAATAATAATTATTTTAAAACAATAAAAAAATAATTTAATCAACTTACAGCAGTGTGACTATTAGCTAAACAACTGATTTTTAATTCATCACCAATTGAGGCTGATAATTTATTTTCAGAGACACCAAGAATAACACCTTCAGTTTTTTTTGAAAAAGTTTGTTTTAAAAAGTCGTGGAGTGATTCTGTTAAAATACCTTCAGAGACAGAGTTGATATTTTCTAAAGCATTTTCAGCTGAAGTGAATGGGAGTGAACCAATCATTTTACAGATTTTGCTAAATTTGCTGAAATCATTCATTGATTTTTGAACTTGACCATTAAATTCAGCAATTGATTCCATACCTGATAATTGGAAAATATGGAAACCGGTGGCGGTTTCGAATAAAATGTGTGTTGCCATTTTTATATAATTTCTTTGACTATTATTAAATTATTATTATTAAAAAAAGTTGGAATTATTGATTTGTAGTTGGAGAAACTATTCTTTTTTAAAAATAAAAATAATAATATTAATTATAATTATAGTTTTATAAAAAAAATTATATACAAATATTATTTCGAAAAGTTTAAAAAAAAAAAAAAACGAAAAAAAAAAAAATTATAAAAAAAAATGATTTTTTTAAAAAAAAAAAAAAAGAAAAAAAATAAAAAAATAAAAAAAAATAATAGTTTTTTAAATAAAAAAATAATAAAAAAAAAAAAATAAATTTACACACTTTTTTTTTTTTGATATCTGAATAAACGATTAATAATGATTATAAACTATTTTGATCATAAGCGATTATTTTTTTTTTTTTTTTTAAAAAATATAAAATATAATATTTTTTAAAAAAAAATTTACTTCTATTATAATTTAGTTTTATTTACAATTATTATTTTTTTTTTTTTATTGTTATTATTTTTTTATTGATAATATTTTTAAATATTTGAAAATAATTGATCTAAAATTTTATCTGAATTATTGTCCAAAAAATTATATGCTCTTTGAATATGATTTCTATTTAAATAAATTGGATTGTTTGAGGAGGTTATATTTGTATTTACGTTACTGTTACCACTACCATTTGAATTAACAATGATTGAACCATTTAAACTTGTTCCTAAATTTGCACCACTTAAACTTGTACTTAGATTGCCACTGGAGCTTGAAAGATGGTGTGGGTTATTAATAACAGGGGAGCAGGAGAATGGCTGGTATGATGATGACATGGATTGATTATTATTACCATTGTTTGAGATTCTAATTGGTGATGTTGGAGGTGTGTGGAATTTACCATTTGGTGATTGTGGTGTTGGTGGTTGATTGGCTAATAATTGTTGAGCTGATGTGGAGTTCGATAGGTTAACATAGCTGGGTGTATGTAATGCTAATGATCTAAGGAAATCTTGTAAAAAGTATAATGGAATAAATTTGGTGTCTTGATATTCTGCTATTTGATCTGTATTTGGGTCTAATGATGCTTTTGGATGAATATTTTGGGTTGCTAGCGATATTAGGTGTTCAACAATGATATTGGTATTAACAAGATCAGCTGATAGCAATTCAATAACACTTTCTTGGTCACGTAGTTGAAGCACAATTTGGTTTATGAAATTTCTTTGTTCCTCTGTTAGATTCTCTTTGGTAGGGAACTCTTTAAATAATACTTTGACAAATTGACCAGTTATAACAAAGATTCCTTTTTGTAAAAATTGTAAAAAGATTGGTCTTTGAAGACAATAGAAACCTAATGTTGTAAATTGTGTATAAAAATCTTTTGGGAAGGGGCAATACAATTCTTCGATAGCAGAGTAAAGTTTTTCCATAACTTGGAATAGAATTAAACGTGTACTATGTTTCATTTCACCAATTGTATTTGATTGTTGCTGTGTTGCCATTTGATTGGTTGGACTATTGTTGTGATGGAAACCATAGCATATTTTAATGGTTTTATAAAGATTGTTAACTACATTAATTTGAATGTGACGGAAGCAATTGGCCCAATCATTTAAACGTTCTTTATTTTCCTTTTGTGAAACACTGTGGAGGAATTCTGTTAATGTTGAAATATAGTGTGGCAAATCTCTTAATGGATCTTCTTGATAGTTTTCAAATAGATTTGGATCGCTAAGGAATTTTGAACCATTGCTCATGATACCACTTGGTTTACCTATATCTTTTTTCATTGGATCCACTACAACAAAGTCATCATCTATACCAAAAAAGTTTCTCCAGAAACCACTAAACGATGGACCATCTTTGTTCATAATTTCATTCTTTGTAACCTCAAATGAACGTAGTCTCTTTCTATTCTCCTCTTTTAAAAGTAGATTGTTTGGTATGTTTGTATTAATTGGTGTGACTTCTAAATCCTTAAGTTTTCTGTTGGTTGTATGTATGTCGATAGATTCTGCGCATGATATTGGTAGTGCTTGAAGATAAAAGGAATCTAAATATGAAACATTACCAATAGCATTCTCTAACTGGGTGTTTTTAAGGGTATGATATGTACTGGCTAAAATATATTCTTTTAATAGATCTGTGGTGATTAAGTTGTTTTTGGCAGCATGTGTTATAATGGAGGAGCCTAATTCTACATCGTTCATATGGATAATTGCTAAATGAATTGCTTGAATATCGGTGCCAGGGTCCATACCCACTTCAAATAGTTTTCTAATAGATTCTCTATCAAATTGGTAATGATATAATATACCATTTGTATAGTCAAATAAAAATCTGCTGTTTTTGGTTGATGATTTATCATGGGTGTTGCCATTGCCACTTGACGAGGATGCTGATTTCTCTGGTTTTTCACCACTAATATTACCGTTTAAAAAGTAAAATGGTATGACTGATTGACTAATTTTATTTGGTAAAGGTGGGCTACGAACTGATACAATATCGGATGAGTCTTGAGAGTGATTCATTCCTGCTAATGGTGTTGATAAATCTTTACTGTATAGTGTAATACCAAATGATGGATCATGGTCGTGTGCGCAATCAATAAATTGAAAGAAATATCCAGGAACATAAACCATGAGTAAACTACCAAAGTTATCAAATAATACTCTAGTTTTCGAAACAGCTGACCATCCGTCATCCATTGTATTCAAAGGTATCGAGTATCTAATCTTTTGCTTTAAATGAAGTAGATAAATTGAGATCTTAATTGAAAGTGTTGGTTTGGATGATTCCTCTTGATGACACAAACATAGACCAACTGTTGGTAGACGCACGATATGTATATTTTGATATACTTGTTGTTCTTCATAAGGAGCATATTTACCAACTCCTAATGGGAATGGGAAGTTTGAAGACATCTTTCTTTCGAGACTAACATTTAGATGTAACGGTATACCATCATGAGTATTTATAATTTTTGGTCCGGTCAAAGCCCATATTTTTAAAAGACTTTCTTGTGTACCACTGTTGTTAGAGTTGTTTGAATTGCCTACGCCACCTATACTGCTGGCAGAAAAAGTGGAGTTGGACTTTTGCTTCAAATGTAAACTATACAATATTTGACTGTGATAATCAAATTGATACCAATAGCATCTTTTAAATATTAGTGATTTGGTGGTCTTCTTATTTGTCGCTATAGATTGATATGGATAGTGGTTATGGTGATGATTGGAGGAGTTGTCCTCTGTTTTTAATTGAATTTTTACAGAATGACATTCATCATTTTGAAATAATAATAATGTACAATGTTGCTTTTCATGAAATCCTGCTAAAAAATGATAAACCAATGGATTTTCTGAATCAATTTCTAATGGTATAAAGTTTTGTGGTTGTTTTTTGTTTAAAGTTTCAAAAATAAATGATGAATATGCTATTATGATAAATTTAATTATTGGGAAAAAAAAAATTAATAACAAAATAAAAAAAAAATTATTATAGTACATTAATTTCTTATACATACAATCTTTTTGGGTTTTTGGATTTATTGATTTAACTGTAAATACCAAAAAAGATCTATTTGCATCAGCACTTAATGATGCACTGACAACATTTCCTGGATGTTCTAAAATTGTTGTATATTCATGTTTTGAGATATCAAAAAAGTCGATATAAGTACCCTAATATAAATTTAAGGTGTTAGATATTGATACTATAAATAAAATCTTTTTTATATTATACTAAATTTAGTGTACATACATTGTTTTTTGAGTTTCTTGCCAAAATTAAAATTACACCTTTATCTCTACCAATAATTCGAAGATTAATTGATTGTGAATAATTAATTTGTTGATAAATTTTATTTAAGTTATCAGTTTTATCTTCACCGTCAGGGCTTGTACTACTTGTATTGGATTCGCCATCCAAATCATATTGACTGTTGTTTAGTGAGGTACCAAGTTTGAAGTCGTTATTTGGTAAACTTGAGTTGTTTAATTTTAATGGGTTTACTGGGATACCCAATGGATTTGTATTTGTAAAGCTACTGCTTGCAACGTAGTTGCCACTATTATTTTTTTGATGATTACTATTGTTATTGTTATTGTTATTATTGTTATGTGATGGTGATGAAAATCCTCCAAAACTACTTGATATTGAAGGTGTTGGACTATGCGCGCTAGAACTATTACCCATTAATTCGACTGGTTGTGAATTTTTAAATATAATTGGTCTAAATGATGTTGCCTCTGATGCTGTAGGCAATTGAGTTGATGGTATTTTTGGTACAACATCATGTTCTAATGAAAACAGTTTTCTAAATTTAAACATGATATTATAATACCAACAATATAATTAATATAGGCTATATATTAAATATTGTTATATTATCTAGTTATTCGAAATATATTAAGGTAATATTATATTATTGTAAAAAAATAAATAAAAAAAAAAGTAATATCTGTAAAAAAAAGAAAATAAAAATAAAAATAAAAAATAATTAAAAAAAATTAAAAAAAAAAATATATTTTTTTTTTTAATTTTTTTTTGAATAATTTTTAATAAAAAAAGAAATGTTTTTAACTTTTTCAACAATATTATTAAAAAAAAAAGAAAGGTGTTTTATTTAACAGGTTTGAATTATGCCATTATTGCAATTTATTGATAATGGGGTGAATGAGCATGGGGTGTTATTAATACAGTTTTTGAGTGTGGGTTGCATGTTGTTGCAATAAAAGGTATCGATTTGGTTATTATTGGAATTTGTTATTGTAAAATTATTGGATATCAATTGAGCAAATTGAAAATCACTTCCTTGGCAATTGTCACTGGTGGTTGAATCGTACTGAATTTTTTTTAAACCATATTCTTGATTTAAAATTGGTGTAATTAAATTTGGGTTATCTAAAAAGCTAATCATAAAATAAACATCATCTTGATTTGGTTGTTGTCCAAAATCTACACTTAAAAGTGGTGGTAATTGATAGCATTGATTATGTTTAAAGGCATCACTGAATTGATTAGGATCGCTGGTGCAATCACTATTATCATAAAATTCAAATAAACCAATCAATCCAAATACATTCACTTTTAAGCTTGAGCTGGTATTGATGGTATTCGATTGGTTAAATTGGTTTATTGATACAAGTGAAATGCACTCACCGCTAACCACATTGAACAAATACCCTACACCACCGCTTTCGCCACTGCACTGTTGGTTCGCATACGGTTTCATATAAATGTATGTTGAACAAGCAACATTTAAAATAACTAAAAATATAAAAACTAAAAATTTGATCATTATCGCCATCCAACCAATTTATCAACAACACACAAAAAATAATAATAAAATAATAAAATTTTAAAAAAAAAAATAAGTGGTGAGTATGGCTCATGCGCTCAGATATTTTGAAAAAAAAATTTTATTATTTATTCTTTTTTTTTATTTTTTTTTCATTTCTTGTTTTCCATGTTATTTTTTTTGGTGTAAGTTCAGTATCTTTTCGATTTTCTATTTAGTGCTTTGAAAAAAATATTATGAAACAAAGAAATCTTTTTTTTTTTATTTTTTTTATTTTTATTCCATAATTTAAAAATAATTATTTTTTTTTATTTTTTAATTTTTATTTTTTTTACCAATTTTCGTGAAAAACCTGCTTTTTTTCTTCCAAATTTTTATTGTAAAAATTCGCATAGCTTCATTTCAAAAATAATAATAATCATTCCTTGATTCTTTTATTTAGTTCTTTTGGGTTTTTGTTTTTATGTTTTTATGTTTTTATGTTTTTATGTTTTTATGTTTTTATGTTTTTAAGTTTTTGGGTTTAACAAAAATTTATTTGGTTAATAAGGGTTTGGATCTACCAATATAAAAATTAATTAAATAATATCTTTTTTTTTTTTATTTTTTTTATTTTTTATTTTATTTGTTTTTTATTTAAAATTATAAATGAAAAATTATTTTCTTTTATATTTTATAATTATTTTTATAAATATAATAGATATAGAATGTGTTACACTTCAAGATTTATCTGAACCAGAATATTATATCCAAACTCCTTGGGGACCCGGTGTATCATACCATCAGTGTTCTACATTTTTCAATTTATATGTGTCGACGGATAGCGCAGAACCCATTTATCAAATCTATGTATCAGGCGGGAAAGATGCGCAAATTTTCACACAAGTTCAATCACCAGATCAAACCCAGGCCATTTATGGAATAGTGGTTAGTAATTTCGATTATGGTAGTTATACATCCATAATAGCGGTTACTATAAACTCTGTTGACTACTACCACACATACAATTACTCTTGTTTAGGTAAATACATTCCCGTTTTTTATTTTTTTTTGGATTAAAAAAAAATTTATTTTTTTAAATTTTTAATTTTTAAAATTTTTTATTTTAATTCATTAATTTAATATTTTAATTTTCACATCACACACAATTATAAATCAATAAATTAATAAACTAATACATGCTATATTATAACTTTTATAAAAATATTTAGAGGTTGATTTATCAAAATTAACATATAAAATTATAGAAGCTTTGGATTATGACTATTCAACCAATCTTTTTTCAGCAATAATAAGGATTATAGGACTCAATTATACCCTTCCATATATAGAAACTGCATCAGTTGCTACAGTAACACAATCTTATGATAGCATATATTCAGTTAATTTTTATACTACACCATCGCCGACCGATTTCTTGGGTGAGTGGAGTGCCGAGTTAACATTTGGTACATCACCAACTAAAACTTTTGTTTTTCCTTCACCTTTTAAACGTAAGTACAATGATTTAAAGTCAACAAACATCAAGGGTTCTAATTCTAATTAATATATTTTAAATTTAGCAAATGTGAATAATTCTTTAAGTTCATTTAAAAGGTATCCAGAAGATGTAAATATAACGGTACAATCTCTTGGAATGGATTCATATGGATTGTTTAGTTTTCTAAGTACTATTAAAACACAATTTACACCACCTTATTTTCAATTAGGTTTTCAATATGGCGCTTTTTATAATTATCTACCAGTGTACGGAACTCTTGGTAATTACACATATCTTGCTTCATTAACGCCAATATCTAAATATATGTATAATACAAAAGAAAAACAAACCGGTGATATTTCAGTTTATACTCAAGAGTTTGACGAGTTTGTTAGTGTTTATTTCGGTGTACTGGATTTTTATTGTAAGTAGAATAAATAGATTTTACATTTAATTATAATATTGATATTTTTTTACCAAATTTAGTTTTTTATTTAAATTCGACATTGGGTGGCTCAAAAACCTATTCACAAAATTCAACAAATTTATTATTAAAATTTAGTCCCATTGTAAAAGATTATTCACATACACCCATCAAAGTTGAAACAGACTATGGTTCAATGTTAGCATACTGGCCTTACGGTCATGGTAAAGGAAATTTAAAACAGTTTAATCTAGATATTTCATTTGAAAGGCCTTCATCAAGACCAATTAGTAGTTTAAAATATACAATCGAGTCAAATGAAGTCGCGTTTCAAAACATTAACCCACTTAATGCTTTGTCTTCCACGACCACTGCAGTTAGTGGTAACTCTGTAGCTACAGTAGTTGCTGATTGGAGTCCGCCAGTATTGGTCTCATTCAATGCAACTTTACTATTTGATCAGGTACTATTAATAAAGTTAAGGGTAACAGATGACATTTCTGGTGTGGCCTCAATTAATATATTTTTTGAAGAATACAAATATTTCGGCAATTTGGTATCAGGTGATAGATTTGATGGTGTTTATGAATTATACTTTGACCGAAGTGATATCTCTTATCTTCAATACAGTTTTTTAATTATGGATAATAGCGGCAATTCAATATATCTTTCATATAATTACTTTTATGGTCCCTCACCAACTTCGTTTATTCAGTTTCCATCAAATATTCAACGTAAGTTTTTATTTTATTTTTAATTTTATTTATAACTTTTTTTAATTTATATATTTTTTTATAATTCAGCATATTTTGTTGAAGATATAGAGGACATATCATTTCTATATAACTATATTGATACATCAAGTGTATCATATTTCAATAAAGTTTTTATTAAATTCAAGAATGATTCAATTACATTAGGTTCAATCTCAATTTCATTTTCATTTTCATATTCATTTTTTTTCCAATCTAGGGCAGATCTTGTATACAATTCCACATCAAAGCTTTGGGAGGGTTTTTTTCAAATACCACCAAATTTACAATATAGTACTGTTTTTTATACAATATTTTCATATAGAGATAGTGGAAATTTGGCATATATATCAAGTTCATCATTAAGAGATGAATTTCAATTAAAAGTTTTTTCAAATAGTAAGTATATAAAGAATTAATAATAATAGTATTTTTTTTAAAAATTTTTATACTAATTTTATATATACAGATACTGATTTAATTGGGCCAATATTCAAAAATATAGATAAAGTTTTGCCAATTGAGGATAATGTTAAAAAAGAGTTTAAATTTGGTTGGATTTTCACAATATCAGATCATTTAAATGGGTTTAAAGAGGGTAAAATAATGGTTAAAGGTGATTTGGATAATTCTGTATATAATTTCACTATTACACCCGATCAAATGATATCAGGTAATATATGGGAAGGCCAGTATCAAATTATGTTATCAGTTAATTCTTCAATATGTGCCTCAATGAACTATACGATCACATATGTAGAGTTTTTCGATACGCATTTATTTAAAACAAGTTTCCAACAAACTTTTCTAAAGGCAAACTATTATTCACGCTATCCCCAATTAAATCCATTCATCAATTTCCTTCAAGATGGTTTTATAAATACAATCAATTTGAAATGTATAAAACCATTGAACCAAAGTTATCCAGAGTTGCTATCTTTAAGTGTTTCTACCGATAGTATTGATGTTGGTCAACTAAATCGTTTCATTGTAGTCCAGTTTGATGTTGAGGATTACTATGGTCTTAAGGAGGGACAAAATCCAGTGGTTTATTTACAAACAGCAGAGTTGGATACCATTTCTTCTCAAGCATCCCTTATCAGTCTAATAAATTATACTAAATATAGCTTCAATTGTACCATTGAGCTCCCAATAGGTTTTGCTTATCCTAATAATGCAATGCTTAGTATTTATGGTTTGATAAATAGAATAGGTAATTTTATTGGCTTCTCTTCATCAGCACTTGCAGAAAAGGGTTTTCAGTATAAAGTTGGTACTACTATTAGTTTCCCAGAAAATCAAGTTTTATTAGATGACGCAAGATTTACCAATGGTGCTTTATGGATAAGAGGTAGAGGGTTAATCTATGTTCAATCAATTTCGATCTCTGGTGAAGACTTTTCGTTTATTCCAGTTAGAGATGAATCGGTTTTAAGTTCATTTAAAATATTGGGTTTTGAGCCAACCTCTAGCAAAACTATTTCAATTAAAGCAACTACAATGGCTTCATCTCATTCTAATTCTTTAGAGATACCAATTACCTATCCAATTTATGTATCACCTGTAACTATTCCAGAGAACCCAGAACAAAAATGCCAAGGTACTCCATTACTTTGTGGTGGTGATAAAAGAGGTACATGTGATCCATCAGTAGGTTGTATATGTAACTTCCCATATGTAGGGTTGGATTGTAATTCAGAGCAAATTGTAAATATTGAACCACCAGAGCCAAATATATTTAGACCTGCATTCTCTTTGTTTGTCAATCAAAGTGAAACTGGTGGTATGCCGGCATCACAAATAACTTCAAATATATCAGTAATCGAATTAAGAGAGATAGATATAATGGGCCAAGTTATAAAAATTCACGTATTTAACCAATGGAATTTTTCAATTAATTCAAACACATCCGAGCTAATATATGACACAATTATTGTAAATAATAACTATGAGACTTTGGTTCAAGTCAAGTTAAAATGGTTCGATCAGCAACAAGAGGTATCATTTGCAAATGAAAAGTATAGAATTGACCCAGCAACAATGAAATTCTCTATGAAAATGTCTGAGTATAGGTTCGACAATAGATTTAACACGTTGGAATTGATTTTATTTAGTTCTATAATGTCTGTTAGAAACCAATCCCTAACATGTTCAAGAGCTCAATTTGGTAATACCACCGACAATTGCAATTTTATGAAGTTACAGGTCGACAATCATTCACTATATGGTAAATTTATAAGAAAATCAATTGTAGATAATCATATCTTGGAAGTTATTAACAGTGGTATCAACACAACAACCAGCGAAAATACAACCCAATCTTTTGTTTCAATTAAATTACCCCATTACTTGGACTATCTCGAAATCGATCCAACATTCTCTATACTCTTGGATTATAACATACAATATTCCGATTCTGATCAACATTGCTATATTTCGGACCAAACTGTTACTAGATCAGTAGCATTAATTGTCAGTCTCGTAATTGGCCTCTTCTCATTAACGGTTCTAATAGTGGTTTTCTTTGTTACTATGGTAAATACCAGTCCCGCTTGTATAAACGTTAAAATTTTATATTTACATATTAAATTTACAATTTTATATTTCAAAGTTAAAAAATAATTAATTTTAAAATAAAGAAATTTACAAAAATAAAATATAAAATAATATAATATAAAAAAAAAAATAGATATATTTAAAAAAAATAATTTATATACATTTAGTTTTATTTATTTATCTTTCCTTTTCGGTAATATCATCATCTTCATCATCTTCTTCACCTTCCTTCATTACTTCGTCTACATCATTATTATCATTTGCATTATCATTTGTAATATCATCGCTATTGGTTGTGGCCATGGCATTGTTATCATTATTATTGCTATTTTGGTTGTTATTGTCAATGAAATCATCATCTAAATTCTTTTCCAATTCGCTTAATGTATGTAAAAGTAATTGAAATTGTTTGGTTCTTAATTCTAATTTCGATGTTGTTTTATTTGTTTGGTCGGATAAATCATTTAATTCTTTTTGAGACTTTTGAATTTCTTTTTCAGTTTGTTCAATCGAAGGTTTTTCATTAATTACTTTATAGAGTGCTAAATATTGTTCTTTATATTGCCTATGTTTCTTTTCATGATCCAAAGTTTCTTTAAGTTTTATTATTTCTTTTTTTTCATTTTCAATTTCAATCTCTATATTGAAATAAAAGTGTTAACGTTAATATATATTTATACTACTTAAAAATGAATATGTCTATATTTACCTCTTTGTTTACATAATTGTTCATAATAGTTTGATTCTTCTCTACAAGTTTCTGAAATAGTTTGAGCTTTTTGAATACTTAATTCAAATAATGAAAATTCATTTAATAATTGTGTATAAGTTTGTTGAACTTGAGTTTTAATATCTGTATTCGGAATCTGTGCTGATGTTGAATCTATCATTGATGCATCTCCACTTTGTGGGGATGTTGCTGATGTTGGTGAGTTTAATAAACTTACCAATTGTAAATACTTTTTAAAGATTTTTTTAATTATAATATCTTTATAAATTAATCTATTTCTTAAAACACCTTCATCATCTTCTTCCATTTATTATTATTTTTTTTTTAATTGTAAATAAAATAATTAAAAAAAAAATGAAAAATGAAAAATTAAAATTAAAAAAAAATTTAAAAAAAAAAAAAAAAAAAAATGAAAAAAAAAAAAAAAAAAAATTTAAATAAATGTTTTTTAGATTTTATAATAAATTATTATCTATAAATCTAAAAATAGAAATGAATCAATATATAAATTACATAATCTTTTATTTAATAATTTATTGGATAGAGTTATATTGAAAAATATTATTTTCTTCTTTTACGGCCACTGTACAAAATAATAAAGTTGAATCGGACAAAAGTTTAGGGTCGAACGGTGAAGCTTTATGAAATTTTAGATATTTTAAAGAGTCTGGTAAAACATTATCTTGAATCAATGAATGCTTAAATTCATTGCCTAGTGTTAGCTTTTGAAGTGAGGATGGTAATACATGGGGTTCTATTGGATGGGAATAGAAAAAGCCCAAAGTGAGTTCGGTTACACTAGATGGGATACATCCAACAACAAGTTGATGTCGAAATGAGTGGCTAAGGCAAAGCTTTTTAACAGAATTTGGAATTGTACCATTGGATATTTTGGAATTACTTATAGTTAAATCAGTAACACTATTTGGAATAGATTCGTCTAAAAACATTAAATCGCCATAATTGTCAAAACTTAGTTTTTCCACACTTGAAGGAATGAAGCCTTTGGGCAGAGTTTCCTTAAATAAAAAACCAAAAGAAAGGATTTTAACTGATGATGGTATCAAATTGGGTTCAATGTTTTCTGTAATATTGTAGATGAATAATTTTGTTACACTATTTGGAATGATACCTTGGGTGATGGTTGATCTACCTAAACTTAGGGTTTTAACTGATTTAGGGATTGAACCGATTTGAAATGGTGCTCTACATTGCTCAGAGAATTTGATTTTGGTTACTGAGAGTGGAATAGAGCCTGGTGGGATTGAATGTTTGTACCCATCACCAAGTACCATTTTTTTAAGACCTTGTGGTAGAACACCCAAAGTAAAGGGCTGGTCGAAATTCCTTCCAAAACAAACACGGGTTAATGAAGGAGGTAGAATATCGGGCAGTAAAGGTTCATTAAACGATTCAGAAAATTCGATAGAGGTGAGAGATTTAGGAAAAGTATCAACATTGGGTGATATTTTATTATAATGTTGATGGTTGAATGTAAGATCGGTAAGAGTGGCTGGTAAAGATCCTTTAACTAAGGTTTGATTTCCAAGTGAAAGTTTTTTAATTGAAAATGGTGCTAAAACATCGGATGATAGTGGCTCTTGAACAGAGTCATGTAAAACCAATTCTGTGACTGAATGAACTAATGATTTGGGTGTAATTTTGCCATATTCTGAAGAGTTGTATAAAATAAGTGATTGTAATGATTTTGGTAAACCTTCTGATTTGATAGTTTTATTAAAACGGTCTCCAATTGTTAAAGTTTGAATTGAATCTGGTAAGCTATCTTTTGATAATGGTTGGTTAAAATCTGAATATGCTGTTCCAAGTGCCAGAGTCTTCAATGATTGCGGTAACGTATAGGGTTCGATTGGTCTGTTGAATTTACCAACTATTTTTAGCTGCTCTAATGAATTTGGAAGAGAGTTTTTGGTAAAATGTTGGTCATAGTCACCAGTAATTTGTAATATTCTAAGCGACTCAGGTAGGCACAATGGTTTGAATGGTTTGTTATATCTTCCTTTTAGTACTAGCTTTTCAATACCCAATGGCAATACCCCAGGCTGAAAGGTTTGATCAAAGATTGACCCAAACTCTATAGACTTTACACTTTGCGGAATGACATCTATTGCAATTTCTCTATTTAATAAATCACCAAATTTTAATTTTTCTAAAAACAAAGGTAGATCGCCTGCTAAAAGATCTTGGAATGGTTCTCTATTTTTTTCTATTAGCTCTTTGATCTTATAGGTAGCTCTAGCTGTAGTTACTATTCGTCTATAATCTTGATAGTTGATATGTAAATTTGTAATATAGCTCCAGTATGGGTGGTTTATTAATTCCTCCCTTGTTTTTACTACAACTAAACAACTATTTAAATTGAATAAATTTATATGTTTGTTAATAATTGATCTTAAATATTGATTTCTGAATATTTTAAAAAATAAATTGTTAACTCTATTATCATTGTCGCTAATACTATTACTATTACTATTAATGTAATTTTCCATATTGTTCATCAAAATATTTGATTAAAGAGAAAAAAATTTAAAAAAAAAAAAAATCTAAAATTAAAATTTAATTTTTTTTATTTGGAAAAATATTATTTATTTATAAAAATTTTAAAATAGGAATAACAATACTCTTATATAAATAATAAATACTTATAAATTAATGTTAACTTTTATTATTATAGTTATGGAATAGGTTGTTTTATTTATTTTTATTATCAATCATTAAAAAATATAAAATAATTAATAAAATGAAAATAGAATGTATTATTACATTGTAAGTTGTAAATGTATGGGTGTTTGTATTATTCAATTTAAAATCATTTTTGTTTATTTGTTTTAAAAAAAAATTAAAACCGCTCAAATTTAAAAAATTTTTTTTTTTTTTTTTTTTTTAATTATTTTTTTTTTTCAAAATAAATTCATTAATTTATTTATTAATCACATTTTACAAACTATTTAATTAATAGAAATACATATATATATATATATATATATAATAATGTCAAGATATAGTACTGATAGTAGTAATAATATAAATTTAATTAAAGAAAACTTAGATTTTTTAGAAAGCGAATGTAAATATTGATATATACTATAAATAAAATACTGCCATTACCACATACTAATGGTTTATTACCTTAAAGTCGAAGCATATTGCCAAAATTTAAGAAATGAAAATGAAAAGCTTATATTACTATTAAAAAAGAATTTACAAACTGAATTACTACATTTACCACAAACAATTAGAAACATGACAATGGAAGATTTTTTACATCAATGCTTAGATTCAAGTGCTCTAAATAATGTCATCTCACCCTCACAAAATGATGTTATTAATAATGTAAACAATAATACTAATAATATCAATATAGATAATAAAATAAATAATAATAATAATATGGAGCAAATATTAACAAACACACAGTCTCCAACCACAACTCAGTTTTATAATAACAACAAAGAGCCTGGTTTATTATCATTAGGTGAACTTTTAATGACTCCCGAAAGACCTATTAAAAATATGAACGAATTTAAACAAAAAGTTATATCAATATTAAACTCACCTCAGCTTATAAATAATAGTAAAAATAAAAGAATCATTATTACCGATGACGACAGTTTTAATAAAAACAACAGCTATAACAATAACAGCAATAACAATAATAACACCACTACTGAAGAAAGTTTTGATGATGATGAGGATAGCGAATAAACAATTTAAATCCCACTAAATTTGTTTCAAGTAACAGTATAATAAAAAATTTGTAAATATAATAAAATAAACATTCTCTAAAATTCAAGGTATTTAATTGCTAATGTGGGTGTGGTTTAATTAAAAGATTATTGTTTTAAATTGTTTTTTATTTCTTATTAAGGAAATAAAAAAAATAAAAAATAAATAAATAAAAAATTTAAATTAAAATTTTTTTATTTTTTTTTTTTATTTTTATTTTTTTTTATTTTTTATTTTTTATTTTTATTTTTTTTTAAATGTTGCCATTTATTATTATAATTAATTAAAAATTTTCTTTTTTAGATAGATCTGTTTATTACCAAAGAACATAAACATTACGCAATATAGAACAAAGATAACATGAAAAATGAAAAAAAAAAATATCGGTTTTTTGTGTTTTTTGGGTTGTAACCCTTTTATTGTAATTTGAGAATGGTTTTTCAAACAATTTTTATTTTTTATTATTTTTTATTATTTTTTATTATTTTTTATTTTCTTATTTTTTTATATTTTGTTTTAAATTAAAACAACAACGTGTTATAGGGAATAATATTTTTTTTTTATTATTTTTTCACATTCGATCAAGTTTTTTTTTTTTATAAAATTTTGGTTTTTGTTAAAGTTTTACAAGAATAGTAGTTGTAATAATAATGTTATAGCTATATTAAAAAATATAAATAGTTAATATGAATAACAATAACAATAATAATAATAATAATAATAATAATAATAATAATAATAATAATAATAATAATAATAATAATAGCTTTAAAAATAAAAATGGGAAGAAATATAAAGAATTATTGCCTGATGAAGAGGGTTTAGATGATAGCATTGCAAGTGAAAATAGTAATGTCGAAGAGGATGGTGAGGATTTCGTTGAAACCATAATTTATAGCGAAGAACCAGTTGCAATTGGTGATAATCCTAGTCCTATATTTATTAAAAAAATAAAAAAATCTAATTGGAACAACAGCGTAGGTGAAGGTGATGAAGATGGTATTCAATTAATTAATATGTCTAAAAAAGATGACGACGATCAAGATTTATTAAATATCAAAGATTGCAATGATACTTTTGAAGATATTAAATTAGAGGATACAGAATTTCATAGTTATAACAACGGAATCTTCTTCAAAATTCAAAAACACTTTTTTCTTATATTATTGGGCATTTTTTATTATATTGGGGTATTTTTTTATTTTTTAAAAAATATTTTTTCAAAAAATAAAATTGTATGTAAAAAAAAAACTTGTAATAATAACCATAAAATTTTATACTTATTATTATGAATTAATTTTAAAATAGGTACATATTTGGAGATCTTTAATTGGATATTCAATAAATAATATTAAAAAAAATAAATTAAATTTTTCAATTGGGTTTATTTCATGTTTTTTAGTGGTGTTTTTGGTTTCAACTGGTTTATCAATTCTATCAAGTGTATCGCTTATTTATCTTAGTCAAGCAGATTATCAGTCCGGTGGTGTTGATGTTTTAATGAAGCCTTTTGAACTCAGTAACCTACCTCCATTAAATAGCGATGGTACACCAACCTACCAACCAACCTTAAATTTCACATTAATCAAAGAACTTTTGGATAATAGTAACAAGGGTATTGACTATGATAAAGAATATCAAGATAAAAACAATAATTATTTTAATGATGGGTATAATAATTATGACTTTACAAATATAACACCAAGGTCAAATAAGTTTCCCTCTTTTGTGTATCCAGTATCAAAATGTGACATACCACTCGATGACATAGAGTATCGTTATTACCACAGTAAGAAATACCCAGGTTGCGTGTATTGTTTAGAAAGAACTTGTAAACAAAGAGAAACTTTAGTTTATTATGCAATCGATATAGAAAAAGAAAATGAATTGGGTTTTGAAACTACATATGGCCAAAAATCATCGCTGCCACCTGGATCCATAATGATATCAAAGGATTCTGCAAGATTACTAAATGTTTCTGTTGGAGGTCAAGTTTTTATTGATGTTAATCCATATCAATTGTTCCCAATGATGTGGGATAATTCAATGCCAGATTATACAAAGCGTTACAGACATATTTATACCTTATTTACAGTCCATTCAATTTATGATGATAATTCAGTACCAATTACATTAGATTATAAATCACTATTTCCATATATAGCAACACAAATTGACCCTAGATTCAGTAATTTTACAAAAGAGTAAGTTGTATTACCCACAAGCACCACTTAAAAGTTCAAAAAAAAATACTAATTTTTAAAATTTTAGTTATTTAAATAAAGCAAGTTTTTATGATTATAGCAATAGTATTGTGATGAAATTTCCATCACCAAGATTAGAAATGTATAGGGGAACAGATATTGAAAAAACATTGCAAAGGGTGTTAAGATATACTTCAAAAATATTATATAGAGTGGGTTTTAATTTGGTTACAGTAAAGATACCGGTTATGGACGAATTGTACAAGAGTAAAGAGCTTTCCTCAAATTTAGGTCTATTATTAAATATAATAGTATTTGTTTTCTCATTACTATCAGTATTACTTATATATACAACACTGATGGTTGATGTGGATTCAATGACTTTCAACAATGGTGTATTTAGAATGATTGGCGCAAGTTTAACATTTATTGTAAGATTAATGGTATCAAAGACTTTGATATTTGCTATTCCATCCATTATAACTGGTCTACTTTTCTCTCAGTTCTTTTTAATGATTGTCTCAAAGAAATTAAAGGAATATTCTGGTGAAGATATTCAAAGTTCATTGACAGTAAGTTCAATATTGTACTCTTTATTATTTGGTCTGTTGATTCCATCTATATCACTTATTCTACCAGTACATAAAGCAGTAAAAAAATCTTTAAGCGAGTCAATCGATACAAGTAGATCCAAATCAAAGGGTGTCAAAATTACCATCACAAGGAATGATTCTTCAGATTTTAGATTCAATATCGCTGCGATCGGTCTCTGTTTAAGTATTATTGGTTTCTGCACATACTTTTTTTTACCAAGAGCTATGTTGACAGGAAATATTCAAATGGTATTAAATTTAATATTCATATTAATTCTGGTTTCACTGGTAGGGGCACTGTTTCTAATGATAAATTTCCACATGCTACTTTCAAAGTTAATCATATATATCATAACAATCTTTGACAGTGGTGCAACTAAAGCGGTGGTTTTTAAAAACATCCTGGCACACAAACACAAGAATAGAAATACAGTTTTCATGTTTGGTGTATCAATTGGCTTAATCGTAATGATAAGTACACTCTACAGGATTCAAACCGATATTGAAGCTTACAGTTATCGTACGTATGTTGGTTCATACCTTAAAATAGAAAATGACTATGGCGTATTCAAACCAAATACCGCAAAAGCTATATTTGACCGTTTGGATGAATTGTACCCAGAAGTTTTAGAGTACTCCTATTCCTCTCGAGATTTCAAATACCTATCAACACCAAAACAATCACAGTATATAACAAATTTAGGAAGAGTTTATAGATATCAGGTAGATTTATCTGCAGTGTCACCATCATATTACCAACATACTTTTAGCGATTTGCTTAAAGTTTCATCGTTTGACAAGAGCGATAAAGATGTCAAAATCGAAAATAAACAGGGTTTATCATATGCTCTCTATAGCAAAGACTCTATGGCTAAGGGTCTTATTGGTTCAGCATACAAAAGTTTGATCGGGACAAACTTTAACTACCCCTTTTTATTAGAATCTTCTGTGGTACTTAATGTTACAGGTTCTAGCAGAACAATAGTTAATGAAGAAGGTACAACCACAACTGTAGCTATAACACCATATGGTGCAAGACACATATTAAAACCACTAGCATTCTTAGAATCTTCACCAATGCATTACTTTTCAAAAAACCCAAATAATGATCACCAAGCAATGTTGATATCACTTCCAAGCTATCAAAGATTTACCAATGGTTATTTTGATTCAGTCAGAGATATTCCAATTTCAAATTTTATAATTAAACCACAAAAAACAGATAAAGAGTTCATTGAGAACTTACAAAAAAAGTTAAATTTCTCACAGTATAATGATGCGGTGTACTCTTTGAGTATTTACAAAAACGACGCAAAATATGAAGAAAGTAATAAAATCAATTCAATGTTTTTCAATTTTGCCACTGTCATCTCAATGTTAATTTCAACTTTCAGTTTGGTTTCTTCAATGTTTACAAATATCAGCGAACAATCTAAAGAAATTGGTATTCTTAGGGCAATGGGTTTATCAAAATTTTCAATCAATAGAATTTACCTTTACGAATCATTTGCATTATCTTTTGGATCTTGTATATTAGCAATTTTAGTGGGTATTTTCATTTCATGGACTATAATATTGGAGCAAATTGTTATCACAGAAACCCCCTTATCTTTTAGTTTCCCATATAGCATAGCTTTAGTTGTATTTATCTCTTCAATTATTATTTCATTTATATCAGTTTTATCTCCAATTAATAGTTTATTAAAAAAACCAATTATAAATATTATTAAAAAATAATTTTATTTTATTTAAATATTATAAAAAAATATTAAAATATCAAAGATTCATTTTTTTATGATTTAAATTGTAAGATACCAGTCCTACCCACTCCATTTTTACCCCTTCTTCTTTTTTTATTTTATTTTTTATACAAAATTTTTAATATAAATACATATAATATATACAGTTTAACACTTTAACCACACATTACAAACAAACACAAAATCTTAAAACAACATCCAACCACATTCATTTATTTTTTTAAAAAATATTAATGTTTAAAGTATAAAAATTAAATTAAATATTATATTATTATTTTATAAGTTTTTTTTTTTTTTAAAGTTTTATTTTAAATATAAATCAAAATGAATGATAATGATGATGACTTAGTTGCTATTGTTGGGGTTGGATGCAGGTTACCAGGAAATTCAAATTCCCCAAATGAATTTTGGGAAACAATTAAAAATAAAAAAGATGGAATCATAGAAATGTCAGAAAGATTTTCAGATAATTTTTTTATATCGAATCAATTTGGCTTAAAACGTGCTGGTTTAATATCGATGAATGAATGGAAATCATTTGATCCAATTTTTTTTGGGATTTCACCATCTGAGGGTATGTATTTTAAATATTTAAATACTAAATCAACCTTTTTCAAGTTCTAACTTTATCTTTTTTAGCATTAACAATTGATCCTTCGCAAAGATTACTTTTAAAATGTACTTGGGAAGCATTTGAAGATGCATCAATTGACCCATTATCCATAAGGGGGACGAGTGCAACGGTTTATGTTGGCACATCAACACCCGAATATCAATACAGCACAGTATCTAATTACGAACCAATAAAAAACCTGTTTGGAGCTACCCCTCACTCTTTAGCAAATAGAATATCGTATTGTTTCGATTTAAGAGGCCAATCATTATCAATTGATACTGGGTGTTCTTCTTCGTTAAATGCAGCAGTCCTGGGTTACAACTCAATTAAAGATGGCCAATGCGATATTTCTGTAGTTGGTGGATACAATTTTTTAATGGATCCTTTCTTTACCAAAGGTCTTTGTCAACTGGAGATGCTTAGTAAATCTGGTAAAAGTTGTGCCTTTGATTCAAGTGCTGATGGATATGTCAGAGGGGAAGGTTGTGGTGTAGTTGTTTTTAAAAGATTAAAAGCTGCCATTAGAGACTCAAATAGAATTTATTGTGTTATTGAAGGAGCCAATTCAAATGTAGATGGATACTATAACAAAAATACTTTTTATGCACCATCTATACCATCTCAAGTGGAAAATATTATAAAAACTTTTAAATCTGCAAAAAGATCAATAAAACCAAAAGATGTTTCCTTTTTCGAATGTCATGGCACGAGTACATTAGTCGGTGATCCCATAGAAACCGAAGCACTATCTAGAGTTTTTAAGGAGAACCATTCACCCGACAGTCCACTATTGATTGGTTCAATAAAGCCAAATATAGGTCATTTAGAAGGTGGTTCAGGAATTGCTTCATTAATTAAATGCTGTTTAATGTTCAAATTCAAAAAATTTGCTCCAAATATCAATTTTGAAAACCCAAACCCCAAAATTAAATTTGATGAATGGAATTTAAAAGTTAATACACAAGTTTTACCATTTCCAAATAAAAACACAACCATAATGATGAATAACTTTGGTGTCACAGGAAGCAATGCATGTTTATTGCTATCACAGTATAATCACTCTCAAAACAAGGATGATTTGTATGCAGATTCTGGTATTAAAAACAAAAAAGAATACTTAATTCCCTTTTCTGCAAATAGTAAAAAAAGCTTAAGAAACTATCAAATTTCAATTGTTAATAATATAAATCATTATAAAAATAATTCAAATCTTTTTGATTTTATCAAATGTCAAATAAACTCAAGATCTAATAAACTACTTCAAAGATCTATGGGAAAGGCCAAGAATTGGGATGATATTGCTAAAATTGATAATTATATTGATACAAGCCATTCAAAGGTTTCAAATATTACAGTATCAAAAAGACAGCCACAAAATATAGTTTTTATTTTTCCAGGTCAAGGTACACAGTATATTAAAATGGGTTCAAGTTTATATCAAACTAATCAAACTTTTAAATTATGGGTAGATAAAATCGATAGTAAATTAGAAAAGTATTTTGGGTTTTCAATTTGGAAAAAGATAAACTCATTTAGTGAATCTGACAAAGAAACTATGAACGAACCAATTATTGCTCAACCATCGATTAGTATGATACAGGTTGCATTGTTTCATATATATATAAGATGGAATATAAATCCATCGTTTATAATTGGTCATAGGTAAATACTTAATAAAGAATAAAATAAAAAATAATTTTCTAATTCACTAATTTTTTCTATATAAATAAAATATAGCTTAGGGGAAACATCGGCACAATTTTGTTCTGGGAATATAGATTTAGAAACATTTTGTTCAATTTTATACAACAGATCAGTTTCACAACAAAAAACGGTTGGTTTAGGAAGAATGCTATCAATTAATATTGGTGAAAAAGAATTTAAAGAAAAATATTCGTATAAATATCCATCTTTGGAAATCTCATGCTACAACTCCCCAAACTCTATTGTGGTATCTGGAATAGAGACAGTTTTATTTAATTTAAAGTCAGATTTAAAGAATGATAATATTTTTTCAATACTTTTATCTACAAGATCTTCATTTCATTCATCTAGTCAAGAAACAATAAAAGAAGATATTTTGAATTGTAAATTTAAAACACAATTAAGACCCACAATCCCTGTTTTTTCAACAGTATATAAAAAAATATTTGGCCCTACCCTTGCCTATGATCCAAAGTACTGTTTTGAAAATATTAGAATGCCTGTTTTATTTGCCGAAACCATCGAGGCTTTTTATCAACATATAGAAACCAACTCATTATCAAATGAAATTGTTTTTATCGAAATATCTCCCCATCCAACACTTTTATATTACCTTAAAGAAATGGTTCCAAAAGACTCAAACTATTTTACTGATGAGTCCATCATTATTTTATCATCTCTAAACAAAAAAAATAACAGTAACGATCAAACAGAAATAAACAACACAATTTCAAAATTATATTGTTTTGGTTATAATAATTTAAATTTTAATCAACAATTTGAACAAATAACAATAAACAAACATGTAGATCTACCATTTTACAAATGGGAAGATGAAAAGTACTTTTTAGAGGACCATCAGCATTATTTAAATAGGACCCAAGGTCCACCAATTGACCTTCTTGGCACAGAAAACTTATCACCAATTAAATCTTTTACAACATACATTGATGTAAAAAAACCAATTTTCCAATATTTGAAAGGACATGCTGTTAATGGTGGTTTCAACTTTCCTGGGTTTGGCTATGTTGATAATGTCATCAATATGTATGCTGAAAATGATTTAATAATAGATGGTATAGAATTTAAAGATCCTTTAATATTTAAAGCTGGTGAAAATACAATTCTACATACAAATGCTACTCAGGTTTTAAAAAATCAACTTAAAGTTCACTTTCATTATTATAACAACAAAAGCGATAAATGGATAGAAACCTCAAATGTTAATGTATACTTAGTCGACCATGATTATGATAACAAAGAATTAAAAATGGATATAGATCAACTAAAAAAGGAATGCAACCATTACTCTGTTACCACTGATGACCTGTACAACTTTATTAAATCAAAGACAGGTGTGAGGTACTCTGAAAATTTTATTGGAGTAAAAGAATGCTATTATGGAGATAACAAATGCCTTTCCTTCATTCCAATTAATTTACCAAATACCAATCTTGGAATACCCAACTCCATTATTAATGTCACTACCTTGGATAGCTGCCTGCATGGTTTGTTAGGTTTAATTAAAGATCCATGTCAATTATTTTTAGATAGGTTAGAAAATTTCAAATACTTTTCAAGGAACATACCAAGTATTGGTGAGGTTGACCATGTATATTCATATGGTGAATTAAATTTTATATATAACAACTCTTACTATGTAACTTTTAAAGTACTACTCCCAGATGGTACAATTCTTGTAGAGGTTGATAATATTATTTTAACATCATCAATAGAAATTAAAGATTCATTAAATATTGAATATGAACCAAATTTTTATTATGAATACTACTTAGAGTCAATAGAATCCTCAGTTCCAACACCGTCCCATTTCAAAGACTTGATCAACTCATTACCAACAATGGACAAAAATGAAATAAAATATTATGAAAAATATATAATAAATGCATTATTAAACAACGTCAATGAAAAAACAAATATAGATTTAGATATAGTTCAAAAACTATCAATACAAGAGTTGGAAAATAAATATTTAAATGAAAAGAAAAACCAAAAGCTTTTTAACTTTATATTCAATTTAATCAAAGAAAATATTGATTCAATAGAAAAAAATAGAGATAATGTTAATCAAAGAGTTGAAGATAAATCAATGTCATTAAATAGCATAATAAATGCAAGTTTACAAATAATTTTAATAAATTTATTCCCAAGTGGGAATCATAATTTAATGATTGAATTCCCAGAGTCCCGTTATTATAGTGGTTGGTTAAATTATTTTTATGAAAATAATACAAACATAAACAACTTGGACAAATTAGTTGTAGAAATTATTAAAAAATCAATTATAAAGCAAGCTAATAAAAAATATGTGGTTAGAATTTTAGAAATTGGGGGTGGCATAGGTTCATTATCGGAAAAAGTAGTTAATGGATTAAACACGATAATAGAAGCAAATCCAAACATTGAAACTGATATAGAATATACCTACAGTCACGAATCTCCCTCTCATTTTGTACAAGTTAAGCAAAAACTTAAACATTTTAATGGGAACGTCCTTTTCAAAGTTTTAAAACTCCAAGATGATTCTGTTGAAAACCAAAATTTCAAACCAAACTATTACGACTTTATCATAGCTTCAAATACCTTACATTTAGTTAAAGAAATTAAACCAGCAATAAACCAAATTTATCGACTATTGAAACCAAATGGACAACTACTATTTTTAGAATTTTCACAACAGTCGCTATTGGCCAATACTGTATTTGGTTTCTTTGATGAATGGTGGTCTTTTAAAGATATTGGTCTTAGAAGTGAAAACTGTCTATTAACCCAAGGTCAATGGGAATCTATATTATCAAACACAAAATTTACTGATACAATTATGACAACCGAAGACAATTCTTTTAGTTATTTAATTCAAACTAGAAAAGAGTTTCAATATAATTCAAATGTAAAAAGTTCGTCAGAAGTTATAATTTTTACATTCGATAGAGAAAACAGATCAAGTCAATCAAATGAAATTATTAAACAAATATATGAAAAATATAGCGGTGCAATAATTGTAGGAGATTTAGATGAATTACTATCAAAACTTTCTAATACTTCCAAAGTTTATTTCATAAAGACAATAGAAGAATTAAATTTAGAAAATTTTAAAACTGTTACATTAGAATATATTAAAATTAACCAGCATATGATTAAAAATAATCTAACAACCAAAATTATCCTGGTAACAATAAAATCATTTGAAGAATCAAACAACTATTTGAACTCATCAGTGAACGGTACATTTAGATATTTCTGTGAAGATCAAGAGCAACTAGTGCTATATTGTTTTGACCTGGATTGCATTGATTCCTGCTGTATAGATCTTATCGACTCATTGTCAAATGAAAACAACTTTATTCAAACAGAATTCATTGTAAGAAAACAAAAGGTTTATATAGAAAAAATGAAAAGAATTAAAAATTCAATAAACAAATATACTTCAAAACAAAAAACACCAAACATCTGTAAAGATTCTTTTATTTGCAAATATAACTTTAAACTTCAAATGGTCTTGGATAACAAAGAAGAGCTCAAACCAGGTCAAGTTGAGGTAGACGTCAAAGCTGCTGGGTTAGACTATAAAGACTATTTAATTTACAAAAAGAAAAAGATCTTAAATAACAAATTCAATACATTTGGGAGCGAATTTTCAGGCACAGTCAAAAGAGTTGGTATTAATGTTAAAAACTTTAAAGTTGGTGATCATGTTTATGGTTTGAAAACTAATACAACCCAAACTTCAATAATTATCAATTCAGATCAAATTTCTCAAATTCCAAATAACATTTCATTGGTTGAAGCAGCATCAGTACCATCAATTTATATCAACAGCTACTATTGTCTTTTTAATATTGGTGATCTAAATATATTAGACAATGAATCAATTTTAATTCATTCATCAACCAATGATTTTGGATTGGCATTGTTAAATATTTTAAAATGGAAAGAATTTTCATCTCAATTATTTGTAACTGTAAACTCTGATGAAAAAAGGGATTATTTAATACAACAGTATGGTTCATTCATTAGTGGTATATTTAGTGTGAACAATTTTGAAAAAGAAATTAAAGCAAATCTAATGAAATCAAATAAAGAAGGTATTGATTTAATATTTAACTCTATTTCAAATGAATTTATGGATTCAAATTGTAGGTTATTAAGTTGTGGTGGGAAAATAATAGATACAAATATTAATGAAATTGACAACAAAGAACAATTAAATTTAAATTTAAATTTAAATGGAAATTATATAAAACTAAACTCAATTTCACCAAAAACAGCAATAAAAATTCTACGCTCAATTACACAAGCCTTCAATGAAGGTCACCTTAAACCAATCCCTATAAATAAATACAGTAATATAAATATTAAAAATGCACTATTAGAAATTAATAAAAAGAACACCATAGGAAAAGTGATAGTCGAATTTGATACAGATATTTTACAACCTTTATTGACAGAAAAAAACAATCACAAAATTATAGAATCAACTTATAAAATAACATCAGTTGGTAAAACAATACTTGTAACTGGTCAAACTGGAATAGCATTAGAAATAATCAAATGGATAATTAAATTTTCAAACAATATAGAAAACATAATTATATTATCAAAATCAAAAATGAAATGGGAATTAAAATCACTAATTCAAAGTGTTACTAATGATACAAAAAAGAACCATATCAAGTTTCATTTTAATTCAGTTGACGTTGGTAATAAAACGGAACTATATAACTCGATCCAACAACTCTATAATGAACATCCTACCATGGACAAAGTAGATTCGATATTCCACTATGCATTTGTTCAAGTTGTCAATGGACCATTAGAAATATCAATGAAAGATTTAGATCTATCGCACGGAGCCAAATCAAATGGTGCAATAAACCTACATACCCTATCCTTGGACTTTAACTGGCCAATAAAAAACTTTGTAATGGCCTCATCCACTGCTGCAAAATTTGGCAGTTTTAATCAATGCTCCTATGTATCATCGTTGTGTGTAATTGATGCATTATCAAGATATAGAAAATCAATAGGTTTACCCTCCATCTCGATTAACATGGGTTCCATTTTATCAGTGGGAATAGCTGCAAAAAGCGATACAATTTTATCAATGCTCGAATCGCAAGGTATTCATCATATTAATGTTAATCAATTATTGGGCTCTATGGATATAGTATTACACAATCAAACTGATATATCTTCATTTGTAGTATATAATGTCCATTTTGACAATGTTCAAATCAAGAAATACACATATCCAATTATAGACTACTATTTAAATCCAATCCAAAACAAAACGATAAAGGAAAATGACCCAACGAATAGCAATAACAAACAAGACGAAAAAGATAAAATTATAAATAAAATCTGTGAAATTCTATCCTTGGAGCCATCAAAACTAAACACAAGTAATAGTCTATATGAATATGGAATTGATTCTCTAGCATCTACAAATCTTCGTAATTGGTTTAGTAAAGAGTATTATGTCAATATTGTAACAGTTGATCAAATCCAAAATCTGACAATTGTAAACTTGGTTAATCAAATTAAAAATTATATAAATAAAAAAAAATAAATCTATATAATTTAAAATTATTTTTTAGTTTGTTTTATTTTGAAATGTTTGGGAATGTATATGTGACCTCTTCTTTACAATATCCATTTAATAATTTGAATATTAAGGAAATTTGAAAAAAAGATAAAATTAGGTTTAATTTATAATAAATAAAAAAGTAATTTAAAAAAATTTTAATTTTTTTTTAAATTTTTTAAATTTTTTTATACCCAAAATTTTTTTTTATTTTTTTTATTTTTTTTTTTCATTTTTAAATTAAACAAATAAAAATGAGCGATAGCAACGATTTAGGTGACAGTAACGAAAATTCAAATTTAATCCAGGAATTCTCGGAGCAATTAAAAAAGCTCAAAGAATTAAATGACAGTTTAAAAGATAAGAATATACAGTTAATACAACAACAAGAAATATCAGAGGTATGTTTTAAATTTGTTTATTCGTCCATTTATTTATTAAAAATAGTTCTTAATATCCACTATTTTTAAAATAATCTCTCATTTTATATATTTAATAACTTATTTTTATTTTATTAGAATAAAATTGAAGCATATAAAAGAGAACTTGAATTAAAGAATGAACAAATAAATAATTTAGATAACAGATTACAAAATATAGAAGAGGAATTAAATGACTCAAAGATATTAAATGATGAATTAATAAATTGGAAAGAAACTCATAAAGTTACCGATGAAGAATATATTAGAGCAATTAAAATTAAAGATGATAATATAGGTGCACTTTCAATACAGTTAGAACATTCAATGAATAAAAATGCGTATGTATTTGGACCCATAAAACTTTTAATTATAGTACAGTAAATAAACATAAAAACAATAAAATGAAAGATTAATAACAATACTATTACATATCAATAGTTATTGAATAATACTTTAATATAATATATAATGTATATAATTAATATTAATTAAAATTAATTTTAATACAGTATGTTATCAGAAAGTTTAAAAGAAGTTAGCGAAAAAGGTGGCATTTTTGAAAAAGATGATACTTTTAATATAAGTAGTGCAAGTAAACAACTATTAGATTATCAAAAAATGCTATCATATCATAAGATTAAAGCTATAGAAGAAAAATATACAACAATTAAAAACATTAATTTAGGTTTACAAGTAAGTTTTAAACCCCAATTTGATTATTTTTTAAATTTTCAGTATTAACACTTTTTTAAATTTTTTATTTTAAACAGAAAGCAATTCAAGAATTAGCATTAGAAAACGAAAAATATAAATATACTATCGAAACCATTATAAAAAACAATAAATAAAATGGAAACATAAAATAAACCTGTATAATATTTAAAAAAAAATAAACTTAGCTTTTTTATTTTATTATTAAGATAATCTTGATTGAGTTTGTTTTATAACTAATTTTTTTGGACAATTGTTTCTATAAAACCAACTACCTCTGATTCTCTAGAGTTCATTGATAGCCATTTGTAATAAATTGGGCGATTTTATTGTTATTAATATCTAATCTATGGAATAAATTACCAAGGATGATGATTTTTATTTTTAGTTAATTTACGACCATATGAATATTTTGGTAATATTTTGAAATTATATCCCATCTACTAAGAGAGAGAAACCGGAATTCTTTAAAACTAATTGAAAGTGTTAAAGATATTATTGATCGAGAAAACAAACTATCCACTTATGAAAAAAATGGAAACAACATCAATCTAAGATTATACTACCCAAACCACAAAATATCAGATGAACATATAACTCATTTCAGCAAATTCACAGATATAGAAAAGATCTCATTCAACAAAAACTCTCTTTATCTCTCTCTCAAAAGAAAACTACATAATCCCCTTAATGAAAGAGATACCACCAACAAGATGAACAAGTTCATCACCACTGCGACGATTACCAAATGGTAATTGGAAATATTAACTCATCCAATCAAGATATTGAAGTGTTAAAAGAACAACTTAACTTAAAAATTGACTTCTTCCTATCTCACATAAAAGTCAACAAAAAGAATACATCCTTTTTCCACCTCATCGAAAGCAAAAACAACCCAATAAAATCAAAGCTACTCCAATCACCATACTATTGTAATAAGATTAAGTCTGCAACAAAATCAAAAAATCATCCCAACAACAAAATCAATCAATTAATCAATGAAGATATGTACACTGATAAAGAAGTTGACAACACATTACCAAAATGAATCAACTAATCAATGAATATTTGTCCACTGATAAAGAATTTGATAACTCTACTACCAAAATCAATCAATTAATCAATGAAGATTCATCGGGGATCTACACTGATAAAGAATTTGATAACATCATCATCTAACAATTCAACTGACATTAGATAATGAGGGAATATCTAATGACGAAACAAACAAACAAATAAAAAACCAATCACCTCAAGATGACAATAAATCATCAACCAGCAAACCCTCAAGAACATCCAGGGTTAACACACTAAACAACATCTTTACAAGATTAGCTTCACCAACTTCCAAAAATAAAACCGCCATAACAAATACGAAATCACCAGCTATTGAACAAAAATCAAAGAAAAAAAAAACTTCTTAAACAAGATAGGTTGTTTCAACCTTACTTTTTCTTATATTTTAATATAAATAAACACTGTCGCTTACTATACTAATAATATTTATTATATTAAGCTTTAAAAAAAAAAAAAAAAAAATAATTATAGCTTTTATTGATGAATATTTACTGATTAATTTAAAGCATTTGCTTTTAAAAAAAAAAAAAAATTTATATTTTCCCAAGGGGGTGTCCAGGAAGATAATATTAATTCTAGATTGTTTTGTAGGTGCGCCGCTTGTTGGAGTTAGATTGCCATCTATAAAAAGAGTAAAGCGACTTGAAATTTGGTGCTCATTTTTATCAAACCAGTGACCACGTGCTAACCTTTCTTCTAATGGTAAGAGATGAATAGTGTTTATTTGTTTAAAAAAAATATACATGCAACTACACATTCGCTTGTAAATTTTAGTTGCTTGTGTTAATTGTATACCAAACAAATATGATAGAAATTCAAAACTAAAATTTGATTTTAGTTTTATTAGTGTTAGAGCCAAGCATAAATGATTTCTAATTCCTTTTTTATTTCCTCGTCGCTCACTGATAAAGTTACCTTTAGAATCCATAGATAAATAATTTTTGGAGTTTTTCCCACAAAGAATGTAAATCCTCATTACTTAAACCAACAATTTTTTTATGCAAGCTTTCGCTATAATCGCAATAGTTTTCGATAAAATGAACTATAAAAAATAAAAATTGGTTTAAATATAAACATATTAGATAAATTAACTTTATTTTATTTATTATTTATTATTTATTATTTATCAATTACCTATTGGTACAGAAGTGCCAACATTATTTGTTCCTCTCATTCTAATGGTAGAACCACCTCTTCCTCTGCCTCTTCCTCTCCCTCTAGTAACACCACCACCTCTAGTAACACCATTTCTACCTCTCTCTCCACCTGTACCATTATCTTCATGTTGGTCTGTACCATCTTCATTCTCATCTGCACCATTACCTTCATGTTGGTCTGTACCATCACCTTCGTTAGGATTATTCTCTTCACCTTCACCATTTTCATTATTCCTTTGAATATTTTTGTGATCATTTCTCCATTTAGTTGTTGATACATTACCTAAATGATTAATTAGACATGAAGGTCCACAATAATAATAAGTTGAATTAAAATATTCAGAGTATATATATAAATGCTGACCAACGTAATTAGCACACCCACCCCTTTTTAGCGATCCACTACATATATTTGGTGAGTTCATGTCTATATTGGAAAGAGAGTTAATTCCAACTCTAAAAAATGCTTCTCTTAAAATACCAAAAAAATGTTCAGTTTGTGCAATATCTTTAAAATGCTTTCCAGATTCACATACTCGAATTGGTATTCTGATTTGGTCTAATACAGTTCGTAAATTAGTATAATTGTTGTCATATAATATTTATAAAAATATAGATTTTAAAATCTAATTACCTTTCTCAACAATAATTTCAAAGTTGGTTTGGTTAAATGATGTAACCTTTTGTGTACACCTAATCTGGACAAAAAAAAATTAAGAAATGAAATTTTTTTTTTTTTTTTTATATATAAAAAAAAAGTGATGCATATAAAAAAAAAATTTTCATTTCTTAATTTTTTTTTAAAAAAACGCCTCCAATCACCCCCTTGTATTTTCCAAAAAATGCCATTTTAAAAAATTTATAAAAAAAATTTTTTTTTTTTTTTGAAAGTGAAGTTAATTTTTTATTGACATGCATGTTTTGATCCAACCCCACAATATTTTTTTTTTTCACTCAAAAATTCAAAAAAAAAAGATTTTATAAAAATTTTTTTTTTAAATAGAAATCTTTTTTTAATATTATTTTTTATTTTATTTTTGTTAAAAAAAAAGAAATGAAATTATTACTTGTATTACTTTTTATTTCTTTCAACTATTCGTTTGGTCAAAAACAATATATAAATTTCATTCCCTATGGAAATCAGTGGTGCATTGATAATCCATATGGAGTTGGTGTATCAGTTGTTCCAAGTAAGTGGAAATATAAACAAAAAATATAAATATTGATATTGATGTTTTTTTATTAAATATTAAATTTATTAGATAGATGTTTAAATGATGTTGAATATTTTGTTGATGGCTACAAATATAACTCTTATTTTGCATATATCGGTACCGATACAAATAATGAACCAACAGTTTATATAACATCCTATGGACAAAGAAATTGTTCAGATTCAGAGGGACAAACATTGACTTTTAGAATTAACTCATGTGAATACGCACCACCAATGACTCAACCAAAAAATTCACAATATTCATTTGTTACAGTCACAAATAAACCATCATTCTCAGATAACAGTGTTGTTAATGCAGTTTATTCAAATGACCAAAATTCATCCTCATCTGATAATAGTGGTTCACCAGTATGCAATAATGACAATTTCTTATTTGCTACATCTATGACTGACGGATTAATAACCTATTTACAAAGTGGTGTTGAAGAGATCTTCAGTTGTAAAAATGGACAACCATTTTTAAAATCTTGCTTTAATAACAATTGCAATAACGGCACAATTGCACTTTCATGTTCACCAAACCTAAGCGAATCCACAAGTCAGTCTTATTTCTGTTCAAAATAATAGTAATAATTAAACTTTGAAAAATAAATAATTATTAATTAAATTTTAATACATTTATTTTATTAATTTATTTATAAAGAAAATGTCTGCCCAATTGAACAATAGTTTCAATTTTGACTGGACCAAAAACAACTTTGATATTATGATCATCAAAAGTACATTAATTAGTAAATTAGTTTTTTAATATTTTTTTATTTCTTGGGTTTGATTCATTATGTTTATAAATTAATTCTTAATAAATATTTTTCCAAATTACTAATTAATAGATTGAAATTATGGCATGACTACTTGAAAGAATTTAAATATGACTTTTTCTAATAGGTAAAAAATACGGTCTTTTTAATGGAGAAATTGTCTTGTAAAAAAACATCATCAACTGGATTTTAACCTATAAGGAAATGTAAATATAAAACAAATTAAATTATTTTTATATTAAAAATTAATATTTTATTATTATTATATTAATTATTTGTGTGTTTAATTTTAGTAACAAATATAAATAATAAAGATAATATAAGATATATTTTAGTGTTTATTCACATTCTTATAATTGTTTGAGTGTCTTTAATTTATTTAAGTATTTTTGTATTTATTATTTAGTGTGTGTTTATATATTTTATTGATTCTCGGTAAGAATATAATTTGTGTTCATTGTATTTTCGTTAAGCATTTTAGTTGTGCAATATGGTCATTTTCTTATACCTTATCATTACAATTTGAAGAAGTTGAGCACCAAAAACTCTAGACTGAGGACTTGAGGTATTTATACTGAATGAGATTGGTTCTAAAGGTAGTTGAAATACTGGAATTGGTAGTTATTAAAAAGCAGTTTTAAAATTTTACTTATAGATATAGACAATTGATTCATTACATATCTCACATTTGAAAAGAGCTGAGAGCTATCGGGATTGATTTTTGGATGATAACTTGATTCCATATTGATTGTTACCATTGGTCTTAGCTGTAATACTATATGAACCTACGATTGGTTTTCTAGTCTTGTCAGGAATTGATGAATTTTGGGAAACTGGAACTTAAAAGTCTATTACATCTTTCTGGGCTTGTGATACTAGATATGGTTTTGATGCAGTTTTGATTTCTCTGTACCATCTATGAGTGGAATACTATGAGATATACCTTCCGCCTGACCTGCTTTCTTTAAACTTTCTTAAATAATTTCTGAATAATACTTCATTAATTGATCGAATTTTGCTTGTTCTTGAGGTGTGGATTAATTGAACTATCTGGAGCTACTTTAACATCTATACCTGATCTTGGAAGTAATCCTTTTGGGGTGGCTCTGGACCAAAAACGATCCTTTCTAATAATAGTATACTATATATACTGAATTTGGCAATATCCCCGACTTTGATATTATTATCATTATTATTATTATCATGACTATCGTTATCTTTATTATGATCTTAAGGGTTGTTTATTATCTCTACTACTTTTATTATTATTATTATTATGAGTTGGTGATGATTGAATATTATTGCTATTATTATTACCTGTTGACTGTGATTGAACATTATTATTTTCTATTTTCTATTGATTATCAATTAAAAATGAATTACTTGCCAATTATGAATCGACATTGTTTGGTTATGGTTCTTGAACTCGCTCAAAAATTAACACTGTTGGCTGGGCGTTCAAACGATTTACTCTATAAATTTCTTTTGTTGGAATAATAAGTGAGCCGAATAGGTTTTGATTGACAAAAGCATGCTTAGTGTTAACTGAGGTATCGACAATTGGTTGAACTGGTTGTTCTATATGAGAATACATTTGAATACATATTGTTTGTGCTTAAACGAATATATTAAAAACTTAAAAACTTGATATTTGATTTAATATGATCGCTCATCTGGACCTAATATAAGACTTCACCTTGAGTGGCCATTACATGATTACTTGCACTTGTAACTTTCTTTTGACTTGGACGAATTAGAAGATTTAACTTTTCAACCAATGACTTTCATGAAATGCTTGCGCCTGTATCTACTAGAACTCTGACTGGACGACCATTAAACTTAAGGTTTGCACAGATGTTATCCTTTTTACTTATATTATTAATGCTATTAAGGGTTGATACATTATTACTTGTATCGTAACCATCAATAAAGAAATTGCAATTATCATTATTTTAATGTTCATCCTCTTCTATGTTATTTATCTGATTATTATTTCTATTGTAACTATTATTTGATTTGTAGTCATTGTTATTTGATCTTTGTTATTATTGTTATTTCCAAATCTATTATCATTATTAAATTTATTAAAGTTATTTTCAAATCTATTATTTTTATATTCCAACTGATTACTATTGTATTCTAATTATTTTTATGATATCTTTGTTGATTATTATTATTATATCTTTGCTGATTATTATTGTTTTATCCCGATTGATTATTATAATTGTTATAACTTAATTGATTATTATCTCCTCTATAACTTTTATTATTATATTTATCTTTACAATCTCTAGCAAAATGATTTGGGTCACCACAAATGAAGCATCTAAATCCATTATTTCTTTTGACCTCTACCGCAGCTACTGGGTATCTATTTGTAATAACTAATAAAACACTATATTTCTTTTTTAAAAATTTTTCTAATTTATCAATCAACTATTCTATTTCGAGTTTTTTTTTTTCATTTTTTTTCAACAACCTTCTTTTTCTGAGTTAAATTAATTAATTTAATATATTATTCACCAAATTTGAATTTTTTATTGTACTTTCCATTTATTTCATCAGCATTCATTGATCTCTTAGAAATTCCTTTTCTTGAACTATCTTCTTTGAATTTCTTATTGGACTCTACATATTTTTCATTAACGTCCAATGATCTCTTAGAAAATACATTAAATTTATTTGAAATATCTTCAAATTTAAATTTCTTTTTATATTGATCATCTTTTTCGTCAGTTTTCAATGATCTCTTTGACATACCATAACATTTTTTTAAATTAATATCTTCCTCATCAATTTTTTTTTTTTTTTGGTCTCCATATCATTATAATCCTCCAATGATCTCTTTAAATTTATATTACGACTATGGTGTGGATTCATTGGTGGTTGTGTTTGTTGTGGTGGAGATTGATATTGATTATTTGGGTGCTGATATTGGTTGTAATTTCCATATTGTTGATAATGTTGTTGTGGATGGTATGGAGATTGATTTTGACTTTGGAATTGATTCATTGATGGTTGAGATTGATTGGTTGGTTGCTGATAATGGTTAAAAGAATCATATTGTGGGTAATGTTGTTGTGTTTGTTGTGGTGGTGATTGATATTGATATGTTGGTTGCTGAAAATAACTAAAACTTCCATTTGGTTGATATTGTTGATTCTGATATTGTTGTTGTTGAGTTTGTTGATGTTGATTTTGTTGTTGTTGATTTTGTTTGTTGTTATTATTATTATTATTAATATTATTATTAATATTATTATTATTTCTATTAATATTATTTTTATTATTATAGATTTTTTTATATAATAAAAAACAAATGGTGATAACAATAAAGGAAATAGCAAGTAAACTAAGCATTTTTATGAATTTTATAAAGTGTGATATAAATAATGAATATAAAAATTATTTACAAATAAAAAAAAATATATAATTTGAAAAAAATAAAAAAAAAAAAAATTTATTTTGTCATAATTTTTTTTAATAAAAAATATTTAATAAATTTATAAAAAAAAAAAATAAAAAATAAAAAATAATAATATAATATATATATAATAAATTCAAAAAAAATAGTAATGTTTAAACAATGTGTGAATTTTTTATAATTTCAATTTTTTTTTTTGATAATTTAAATATGTGTTTGTTTTAATTTAAAATTAAGTATTTTAATTAAAAATATAATCTGATTTGAAAATTTCATTAAATTCTCTATAAAATGACATATAAAACATTTACTTTTTAATTAAAAAAAAAAACTAATTTGATTATTTTTAATATAAGGAACTTAAATTTAATTCAAATCAAATTTCTAAAGTCGCAAACAATAAGTAAAATTTTATTATATATTTTATATTTTATATTTTTTATTTTTTATTTTTTAAGTGAGATGCTATTGTACCAATAGAATATCCACCCTATATTTTCTGGTAATTTGTAAAAAGTAGTCGACCTTGGAAAATTTAGAATTTTTTAAAACTATTCTGAAGATCTGAGCTAATACGAAATGTTGATTGTTTCTAAGATGTAGTTGAATTTTTTTTTAATTTCATCGATTTCAATAATTGAAACATTAAATAAAAAGAAAGATATTCGTTTTCCTCCCTTTCTTTTTCTTCCCTTTCTTCCCTTTCTTCCCTTTCTTCCCTTTCTTCCCTTTCCCTTTCTCTTTCTCTTATTTCTTCAAAATATCCATTATGAGGTTGTTGATGCAATTGTGGATGGAGAAGATGAATTTGGTGTATTTGGGGTATTAAATGATTGAAAAGTAGTAGAATTAATAAATGGAAATTGTGATCTAAGATGGGGAAGTTTTTAAACCAAATGTATGAGATGGGGATTGATTATTTAGTCCTAAATATTGCGGGTGTTGGTAAAATTGCATTTGAACAAATAAATTATTGGTTATTGGAGTATAGTGTTGTGTTGAGGTGATATTGCTATTATTGTTACTATTGTTATTATTGTTATTGCCAAATTATTTAATAATATTATTAAATAATATATTAATGAAATGCCAATGATAGCAAATAAAATATAAAAAACAATCATTAAATTATTAATTTTTAAATTGTTATTAATAAGAGTTTTGTGAAATGTGATTTGGTGTAGGGTTATAAATTATTTATAAATATAAAAAATTACTATTGCTATTATTAAATGTGTAGAATATTATAATAAAAAAATAAAGGTATATAATTATTTGTATGTATATAAAATAATAAAAGAAAAGAAAAAAAAAATGAAAATATTTAAAAAAATGAAAAGTAAATTAAAAAAAAAAAGTAAATAAAATTTAAAAATAAAGAAATAATCAAAATATTATAAAAGAAGGAATCGAAATGCTATAAAAGAAAAATGAAAATTAAAAAAAAAAAAAATTAAATTAAAAAATTTTAAATTTTAACACAAAAAGAAATGAAATTTGATTATTACTAAAAAAATACATAAAAATTCCAATCACATTGCTTTTATTAGTTATTTAAAAAAATTATTATAAAAAAGTTTAATAGTGGGTTAAATGTAAATGGAAAAAGTATGGTTGATTATTTTTTATTATAAAAAAAAATTACTAATTTATATGGAGAGATTCCTCGCTACTATTAAAGTTATAAACACTACCATTATAATTTTTTTATTATAATATTAGTGATTGGGCATTTTTTATTGGTAAATTAATATATTTTTTATTTGATTTTATAATTTGAAAAAAAAAGAAATTTTTTTTTTTTTATTAATTTTTTTAAATAAATATTTATGATTAATAATAATAATATTAATTTAAAATAAAAAGATGAATTAATAAAATTTAAAATAAAAATAAAAATAGATAATAATTTCAATCATATTCTTGTTCTCACAAAATCACTCACCACATCTTTTCATTATATAGCATGGGATGTATAGCAACTATCAGTCATTAAGAAAGTAGTTGGTATCACATTTACAACCTTTATACTCAATTCATATTTATATAACCAAAATAATCTAATTTCATTTTAAATGTTTAATAATTTTGTTTGATTGTAAAATATCTATTTTTAATTTTTTAAATTTTCATAAAATAAAAACTTTTATTTTTTTTTTTATTTTGTATAAATATTACTGAATTATTTTTTTTTTTTTTTTTTTTTTTTTTTTTTTTTTTTTAAAAACCCCTCCTTTTACAAATTTCTTCCGAAATTTGAAAAAATAAAATTAAAAAAATTAAAAAAAAAAAAAAAAAAAAAGGCCGAGGTGGTGAACCCATAGAAAATTTTTTTAAATTTTTAAAAAAAAAAAATTTTATTTTAATTTTTTTTTTATTTTTTTTTTTTTTTTTTTAATTTTTTTTTAAAATTTTTTTTTTAAATTTTTAGCACATTATTTATATATTTTTTTTTTTTTGTTGTATATTATTATTTACTCTTTTTTTAATTTAATTAAATTTATAATTATTTATTTTAATTTTTTGTTAAAAAAATCTCAAAATATATAATTTTTTTCAAATAAAATGGATGAACATTATGATGTTATTGTATTAGGTACCGGTTTAAAGGAATGTATTATTAGTGGTTTATTATCAGTTGAGGGTAAAAAAGTACTCCATATGGATAGAAATGGATACTATGGTGGTGAATCAGCCTCACTCAATTTAAATCAATTATGGGAAAAATTCCGTGGTGAACAAAACAATGGTAAACCACCAGCTGAATTAGGTGCCTCAAGAGACTACAATGTTGATCTTATTCCAAAATTCATCCTTTCAAGTGGTCTTTTAGTTAAAATGTTATTACACACCGATGTCACTCGTTACCTTGACTTTAAAGTTGTCGATGGTTCATACGTTTACCAAGGTGGCAAAATTCAAAAAGTTCCATCAACCGATAAGGAAGCTCTCTCATCATCATTAGTTGGTCTTTTAGAGAAACTCCCATTAAGAAAATTCTTTATCTATGTTCAAAACTATGAAGAAAATAAACCAGAAACTCACGAAGGTCTCAAATTAAAAGAAATGTCAATGTCCGATCTCTTCAAGAAATTTGGTATCAAGGATAATCTTATTGATTTCATTGGTCACGCTATTGCTCTCTACCTCGATGACAGTTACCTCAACCAACCAGCTTTCGGAACTGTCATGAGAATGAAACTCTATGCCGACTCTTTAGCTAGATACAGCAAATCACCATACATTTACCCAATGTACGGTTTAGGTGAATTACCACAAGCTTTTGCTCGTTTATCTGCTATTTATGGTGGTACATACATGCTTAATAAACCAATCGAAAATATTGTCTTTGGTGAAGACGGTAAAATTAGAGTTACCTCTGAAGGTGAAGTAAGTATAATTGATTTTTATATTCAGTTATAAATAATAATAATACTAATATTTTTTTAATTTTTTTATTATTAATTTAGACTGTTACTTGTGACCAAATTGTTTGTGATCCATCATATTTCCCAGACAAAGTCCAAAAGAAAGGTAAAATTATTCGTTCCATTTGTGTATTAAATGCTCCAGTTAATGGTGCTGATAAGAAATTCGAATCACTCCAAATTATCATTCCACAAAAACAAGTTAAACGTGAATCTGATATTTATGTTGGTGTCATTTCAGCTCCACATATGGTTTGTCCAAAAGGTAAGTTCATCGCTATTGTTTCAACTACTGTTGAAACTGCTGATCCAGAAAAAGAATTAGCTCCAGCCTACGCTTTATTAGGTCAAATTCAAGAAAAGTAAGTATCATTTTATATTATTAAATTTACCTTTTTAAAAAAAAACTTTGATATTAATTATTTTTTTTTAATAGATTCGTTTCAATTTCAGATTTCTATGAACCAATTGGTGATGGTGTCCAAGATAAAATTTTCATCTCAAAATCATATGACGCCACCTCACACTTTGAAACCACCTGCGAAGATGTCATGGACATTTACAAGAGAATCACTGGTAAAGATTTAGTTCTCACTGTTCATCCAAATATCTTAAAACAACAACAAGAACAAGGTGTAGAAGAAAACTAAAAATAATAAAAATAAATAACAACTAATAAATGATAACAATAATAAAAATTAATTTATAAAAAAAAAAATTAAAAAAAAAAAAAGTCTTTTAAAATTCAACTATATTAAAAAATTCAGTAACATAAATTGTTTTACTATTATCTTTTTAAAAAAGAATAAAATTTTTTTTTATAAATAAAAAAAAAAAAAGAGATATGTATAAAAATGGTATTATTTCATTCCATACCATATTTATTTTTTTATTTTTTTTATTTTTTTTAAATTTAAATTTATTTTTATTTTTATTTTTTTTTAATTTTTCATTTCATTTTTTTTTTTTTTCTATTTTTTTATTCTATACCACGACATATAAAAGAAAATGAGTATTAATATACACACAGTAATATTAGATATTGAAGGTACAACAACACCAATTTCATTTGTACATACAGTATTATTTCCATATATCAGAGGCAATTTAGAGAAATTTTTAAATGAAAAATGGGGAAGTGAAGAGTTAAATGGTGATCTTCAAGCATTATACCAATTATATTTAGATGACAAAAACTCAGTAACATCACAAGGTAATACACAACAATTCGATACACCAGAGGTATTAAACCCAATCGGTTCAGATTTTAGCAAGGAACAAATACTCGAATCTGTAATTCGTAATGTCATATATCAAATGGACAAAGATAGAAAATCAACTGCATTAAAGCAACTTCAAGGACACATGTGGAAAGAAGGTTATGAAAAGGAATTAATTAAAGGTATAGTTTACAATGAAATACCCAAATGTTTTGAAACATGGAAATTAAACAATTGCAATATTTATATTTATAGTAGCGGTTCAATAGCAGCACAAAAATTATTATTTGGTTACTCTAATTTTGGTTCTCTTTTACCTTATATCAAGGGTCATTTCGATACAACTATAGGAGGTAAACTCGAGTCTTCATCATACGAAAAAATCGTCCAATCTATCAACGCTGGCGATAAATCTGGTTACCTTTTTGTAACAGATGCTATTGCCGAAGCCAAGGCTGCCAGAGAAGCATCCATCAACACCTGTTTAAGTATGAGAGAAGAAAACCCAGAAATAGCCGATAAGCAATTATTATCAACTTTTGACCAAGTTTCTTCATTTGATAAATTATTTAATAATAAATATAATTTTAAAAATAATTAAATAATAAAATAAAATAAAAAATAATTTAATAGTTTAATTATATAATCGTATTTTTTTATTATGGTTTTTTATTATACAAACAAAATTAACATTTTTCATAATGTTGTATATCTTCAAGGTGGATTTAAAAAATACTGAATGTTTGTTGAAATTGTCAAATAAACCTTTTTTTTTTTTTTTTTTTTTTTTGTGTGCTAAAATTTTTTTTTATTTTTATTATTTATATTAATGTATTTTAGAGTTAAAATGATCATCAGGATTTAATTTAATATTTGATCTTCAAAAAATAATAAATAAAGGTTTACATATATATGATTTTTTTTTTTAATTTTTATTATAATAAAATTCCAATACCCATTTTTTTTATATTTTTTTTTTATTTTTTTTTTTATTTTTTTAATTAAAAATTTTTGGAAATTTTTTTTTTCTTTTTATTAAAATTTTATAATTGTATAATTATCTATTTATTTATTTATTTTAAAAATGTCAACTGATCAAGATCAATTTAGCTGGGCTGTAAAAAATGGCGATTTAAAAAATGTTGAAGTCGCCGTCAAAGCTGATCCATCACTTGTTAAAAAAACTGATGCAAATGGTAGAAACCCATGTCATTGGGCTGCTGATTATGTAGGATCACCAATTTTTTATTTATTTTCATTTTATTTCATTGTTATTAATGTTTTTTATTTCCTTTTATTATAGAACCAAGCTGAAATATTAGATTTTTTAATTTCAAAAGGTGCTAAATTCAACGATGCTGATGGTTATGGTATTACTCCATTATTAGCAGGTATGTTTATTTTATAATGTTCAATTAGGTTCAACACAGTCGTTAATTTATAGATCAATAGGATTTTATTTAAACAATTTATTAGATTTATAAAGAATTTAAATTTTAATACAATTTTTATTATTTTAATAGCTGTATACGAAAATCATGTTCAAGCTGTTGAACTTTTACTCAAAAGAGGTGCCAAAAAAGACGCTAAAGGTCCAGATGGTCAAACAGCTTATGAAGCCGCCGAAAAAGAAGAAATCAAAAAATTATTAAAATAGAGAAATAATAATAGTATAATAATAATAATGATAATTCCAAATTAAAAAAAAAAGAAAAATAAAATTAGAAACAAACAACTTCAAACCCTTGTAATTCATATATAAATTTTAAAAAGAATTTAGATAAAATAATTTATTTGTTCAAAAAAAAAAACATAGGTATCTGTTATTCACCCATATTTTAAATATTGGTTAATAATATTATATCAATTATTTATATTAGAGAAGTTTTTCAAAAGATTTTGTTTGATATTTTTGTTTGATATTTTTTTTTTTTTTTTTTTTTTTATATTAATTTTTTTATTTTTCAAGAGATTTTGTTTTTTTTTTTATTTTTTTTTTCATATAAATTTTTTTTTAATTTTATATATTATATTGTTTTTTTTATCTAAACATAATTAATAATGGATAATTTAAAATTACCTATTGTTATTATTAAAAAAATATTAAGATTGTTAACATCAGTAGATTATAAAAATTTAAAAACTTATTTATTAATTTCAAAAGGACTCAGAGATTTCATTTTAACAATTATTAATGGTGTAGTAATAAATAATAAACGTCAGCTTAATCAAATCACAAAGGTAAAATTATATAATGGTCAATATTTCAAAGATTATATTAAAAAGGTAATTTTAGATACAATTGATTTTAAACCATCTCCTTGGGATCAAATTAAAAATGAAGATTTATCAGAGTTCAAAAACTTGAAGCTTGTTACAATTAAATTGTTAAACAATATCGATCTTACTGAAACATCTAAAATTGTAAATAATTCAAAATATAAAACCAAGTTTAGAAGTTTTGGCTCCGATTCTCCATACAAGATCGTAGGCTCTAATAATCCTTTCATCAATTTAAAAAAGTTGACATTACCTACTTGTAATTATACACTACCAGAGGTAACCAATCACATAGTCCCATCAAAGAATTTAAAGTCTATTGATATTTCAATAAACCCATGGAAACCCCAGTTTATCTTAGCTGAAGACCGAGACTTTGACCGTGAGAGTGATTTATTTTTTCAATCTTTAAAGGATTTAAATTTGAAGAAATTGTCACTAAGAGATAGAAGAGTCTATACTTCAAATTCATCAGAATATTTAAATATGAATCAATTCGCCCTCCCAGAGTACTCATATTTTATAACCGTTTTAAATAGTACTATTCCATTATTAAACCTTTCAAAATTACATTTATATGGAATCTTCATCGAACCAAATAATTTCTTCAACTCTTTATCCCAATCAAAATCATTGAAGATTACCAAATTAAAATTAGTATCAACCAATTTAAAAGAGGAAAATGTCTTTGGTGAATTGATCCATTACCTAACAGAGATAAACAAAGAAATTAAGAACCTATCAATTAGAAAAAATTTTATTAGAACCTCTAATCAAAATAAAATGTTTATGAAATACTTAAGAGAAACAAATACTCTTCAAAAATTAGATGTTTCATATAATTATTTTGACTGCAAAGATATTTTTGCACAAGTTATTTCAAAAAGAAATCAATTATCAAATATCACAATTTCAGACCTTACCGATGCACCACATGATTTATTGGTTTCAAGCAATATCTTAAATGATGTGCAAGTAAAATATTCTGGTGGACTTAGAAATGAAGTATTGACAAACAATAAAGTCAAAGAAATTAAAAATAACATGCATTGTAGAACAGCCTTTTCTTATTTTTAAATATTAAATAAAGATCAAAAGTGCACCTTTTTTTTTTTTTTTAATGATTATTTTTATTATTATTTTTATTTTTATTTTTTATTTTATTTTTATTTCTAAATTTTTATATTTATCTTTGAGTTTATATAAAATGTTGATTGAATCGTTTTTAATTTTAGGTTTAAAAACTATTGTTAAGTTCTTTTTTTTTATTCTTAAAATTTCTAAAAATTGTATTATATTTCCTAAAAAATATAATCCTATAAAATAAATATAAATTTGAACAATATTTGGGTTTATTAGGATATGCTGAAAAATTTGTAAGTTCCATTTCATAGATAGATCTATATGAAGTGTATTTATGTTACCAATTGATATTAGTGGTTCATAGATTTTTGGATCATCGATCCTTTGAAAATAAGGAAGACTAAATTCTCTAATTGATTTGTTTAATTTTAATAAGTTGAATAAAATATTAATTTGAATTATTTCATCCTCCTTCGATACAAAATCGGGATTAAAGGGAGAAAATAATAATAGTTTCCTTATATTTGATGATTCTCTTGAAATACCATCAAAAATTTCATTAAAATCTACTTTATCATTTTTTTCAATAAATATAGTCAGCTTTTTCAGATTTGGCCTAATGAGAGCTTCTTTTAAAAAACTAAATGGTGATATCAGATCTTTAAATTTAATTGATTCGATTGATTCATATTTTAAAATATTAACCCCATCAATTTTATTTGAACCTTTGTAACTTTTTTGAAATTTAACCACTTTTGCAAAATTAAATTTTTTAAAAAAATCAAATGTTTCATTATCTTCTGAATTAATAATAATTTTTTTGAAAAAGAAAAAGTTATTAAAAGTTGGATCATATTCATTAATTGAAATATTTTCTTCATCAGAGTAGCAATAATCATTAAAAAAAACTTGTTCAAGTTCTTTAAAATATTTTTTTAGATCCTGATATGATGAAGCTAGATTTAAATAAATTGGTATTTTATTGAATTTTATTATTTGAAAATTATTATATTGAAAGAGTAAACTTTTGTATTTATTATTATCCCTAATTATTTGATCATGATTTTTTATAATAGAGTCCAAAAATGTGGTGTATTCAAATTCTGTATAAAATGGTATATTATTTTGAATAAAAGTAAAGCATTGTTTTGATAGTAAACTTATATTTAATATCTCTATAAATGGTTTTTTATAAATTAAATATGGAATGATTTTTTTAAATATAAAATAATTGAGCATGGTAGTATTTTAAAAAAAAAAGAGAAAAATTAATAAATTTTTTTGATAAAAAAAAATAATTTTTGGTTCGTTTGGTTTTTCAAAATAAAAAAAAGAAATAATGAAGAACATTAAGATTAAATTCAAATTTAAAATTATTTTTTTTATAAAATTTAAAATTATCACATACAATACACAAATTAATATTATTGTATGGTGTGGTGTAAATTTTATTTAAATATTGTTATTGTCTGTGGTCGTATTTGTTGCAGTTGGTGCAGAGGGGTTGGGTGCTATTGATTGTTGATACCTTAAACTAAGTCTTGATTTAAATGATAATGAGCTGTTATCAAAAGTATTTGTTTTGCTGGCAGGAGAAAAAAAGTATTTGGAAAATATATCATTTGAGGATGATGGAGATGATTTAGTTGAGGATGGAGATGTTGAAGATGTTGGTGTTAGTTGGTTACCATTTGATGGTGGTGTGGGTGTTGATGAATTACTACTATTGTTTGATGGGGGTGTAAAATAAACATAATTAAAATTATTACCATTATTATTTGTTGGTGTTAATGAAGAGAAACTCTTGAAACTATTTGCATGTTTAGGTGTTGATATAGTAGTATTATTTGTTATATTACTGACCAAGTTGTTATTACAGTTATTATTATTATTATTATTATTATTATTATTATTATTATTATTATTATTATTATTTATTTTATTATTACTATTAAAATCGTCGTCATCCTCTTCAAATATTAAATCGCTATTTAGTGAAGAAAAACTATGGGATTTTTTAGTTATGAATGATTGGTCATTAATATTTTGTGAGATATCCAATGATGGTGGTGATGATGTATTGGTATTGTTGTTGAAATAATGTGATGAAGGTGAAGAAATTGTTGAATTATTCATATGATATTTTTGTTTCTTTAATAAAAAGCTAGAGTGTTCAGTAGTATTTGAAATAAATGTTGGTGAATTTGGAAATGCTGTTGTAGGTGTAGTTGGTGAGGTGAATGATGTTTGTGATGAACTTTTTCTTTTTAAAAAATTTTTAAAACCACCCCCGTTACTATTAAAATTATCTTCATTTTGGCTGCTACTACTACTATTTCCACTATTACCACTATTGGAACTGCTGCTATCGCAATTATCATCTTGGTTATTATTGCTATTATCATTTGAAAGAGATGGATAAGATAATGATTTCTTTGTTGAATTCATCAAAGTACTTTCTTTTTTTTTACCATTAAATTGAAATTGATCAAAAAAGTTCATACTAATTCTATCTTTACTGCCTATTAATGTTGATTTATCATTTAAATTTTTATTAAGATATATTTTATTTGATAATTGATAATCAAACGAGTCATCACTTTCTTCTACCTAAAATATAAAATACTATTAATATATTTTGTTATAAAAGTCAACGATTAAATTATTGTGATACATACATATGGTTGTGTTGTTTGATCTTTACTCTCTGGACCATCCTCATCATCGGACTCTGGAACGGTTGGGGTAAAAAATTTACTTGTAACTAAAGTTTTTTTCTTTTTTATTGTTGTTGTTGTTGTTGTTGATGCCATAAATGATGATGACTTAACTTCATCTTTTTGATCAACATTTTGACTTTTATCATTATTATTTACAATATATTCATCATCCTTCTCCTCTGGGCCATCTTCATAATCACTATCCAAGACAAAGTCATCTTTTTTACTATTTACAATTTGTTGTTGGTTTCCTTCTTGGTCGCTGTCATTAAAAATCTGCTCTTCTATATCCTCTTCAATTATTTTATTGCTAATTCCATTTTCAGATTTATTAAAATATGCTGTGATTTGGTTTGATTTAAATGTAAATTGATTATTTAAATTTCTTGTTTTCTTTACCATTTTGCCCCCATTTAAAATTATTTTATCGTCATTACTATAATTTACACCTGTATTTTTAAACTCCATATTAAATGTAAAAGATGATAAACTTCCTATAAATAATAGCAATAATAATAATAATAATGTAAAATGGTATATTAGTATATGCATATTTTGATGTTTTTTAGAATATATATTGTATAATTACTCTTTGGTTGGGCAGTAAAAGTAAATTCTGGGGCTTTTTCATTTGGTTCAAATTCAATTAAAGTCTCTGGATCGATAATTCCTAAGGCAATCCTTTCAGCAATGCTATCTTCGATTAGTGGACCAATAAAATCAATTTCATCTTCAGGATAATCTTTATCTAAAGGAAAAAGAGTCGTTATTGATTTTGTTACTGGGTCGTAAACCCTTTGGTGTCTGAATGTAAAATCTGCTTTATAAAATTGCTGCTCGTATTCTTTAGTAAAACCAGGTTTCTCTCTTTTTAAATACTTGAATACCTTTTCTATATCTCTGTGTTGTTTTAAAAGTTTGAATGATGTTTTTAACCCCATACCAGGTAAAGATGGAAGATAATCGCAGCCCGATAAAATGCACATTTGTCTTAACATTGTTTGTGTAAAATCTATAAAGTCGTATCCATCTTTTTTACATGAACCTAAATCTTCAGTTTTTATTTCTTGAGCGTAACCATCTTTATCCATTTTTAATATTAACTAAAAAATAAAATAAAATTAATTTGTATACAAAATTTCTATAGTTTTACTATTATTTTATATTTACATTTGAGGCACCATATGCAACTAAATCTGAATCCTCTGTAATTATTGCATCAACTTGACCAGTTATAGAAAGAAATGTAAGTTGTGCATCGGCTTCATAGGGTGCAACTAAATATTCAATTTTGTGCTTTCTTAATTCTTTTATTAAATTAAATGCCAATCTTGGTGTAATATCAACTGCTTTTTGAAAACATATATTAGCTTGAGATTTATTTCCCTCCAAAAGAAATGCTTTTCCTTTGCTTTTATATTCTTCTCTGTGTCTAAATTATTATAGTTGATAAGTATTCAGATATAAAGAAAATCTTTTTATATATTATTTTACTTACTGAAATCTCTCTTGTTCTTTTCCTTTTTTATTTGGTAATGGACCTCCATCGAATATTACCACGGGTATAACTTTATAATTCTGCAGCATTTTTATACGATTGAGAAAATAATTTATGTAACCATTAGTTGGTATACCTAAAACCAACTCTTGGCTGCATGAATATGCACCTTTGTGAAGCCAACTGTACCCATCAATAGCAACTCTTTTTCCTGCATAGTCTTTTACATGAATAGCTTTAGTTACTGGTGATAAAGCTGGTAAAAGTCCAGAAATACCCATTTACTATTATTTATTTATTTATTTATTTATTATTTGATTTTTGATATTGGCGGGTTTTTTTTTTTTTTTTTTTTTTTTTTTTCTGTGTGCAAAATATTTATATTAACATAGATAATATTATATAAAGAGTTATTGCTGGGGTTATTAATATATTTAAAAAAAAAAATAAAAAAAAACAAAAATAATAATTATTTTTTTTCCAATAAAAATAAATAGCTTAAAAAAAAAAATCGTTAAAAAAAAATATGAATTTTTATGATTTATTATTTATTTATTTTTATTATTAAAACAAATAATATATCCAATATTGATAATATGACAATGAGTGTAATGATTTAAATTGGTATTATTATATTGTAATAGATAAATAAATGATAAATATATGTATTATAGATGAAAAAATTTAAAAAAAAAAAAAAGAAAATTTTTTTTTAAAAAATAAAAAAAATTTATTTTTATTTTTTTTTTTAAAATTAATTTCTGTATTCACATATTCTTTTTTTTTTGGAATTTCTTAGTAAATTAGTCAATGAAAAATGGTGAATATTTTGGACAATCGATTTATATAATAAAACAAACAATTGATCAATTGTACATTAAAACAAATAAAGTAAAAAAAAATAAAAAAATAAAAAAATAAAAAAAATAAAAAATAAAAGATTTATTTAAAAAATTGATTGATTGTTTTTTATTTGTTTTTTTATTGTTGTTGACATTGTTGAGCCTGTGGACCTGCGCCTCCAAACTGTGCACCAAATCCTTCAGGAATTCCACCATGACCACCATGACCACCTGGGTGTTTGGTATGGTGTTGTTGAGACTCAGCATTTGGATTGAAGTTTACTTTTTGAAGAGCTACAACTTTACAATCTGATTTATTTGAGACTGGAGCGGCAGATTTAGGAAGAATTGCTTCGAGTTTTTTGACATCCTCTTGAGATAAAGCAGTTGGGTAATCTACTTCGAAAGTTATTACAAGCTTACCTTTTTTCGATGAACCTTTGATTGGCATACCTTCATTGTCAATGCATCTCATATCACCTTGTTTAATAATATCCCCTTTATCGTGGTGTACCCAAAGTTTTCTATTGTCTAATGTATTAATGGTGAAATCGCAGCCAACTAAACTATCTAATAATTTAATTCTCTTATTATAAATTAAATTGTCACCGTTTCTCTTAAAGTTTACATTTGGTTTTTCTCTAATTGTAATTATAACATCACCCGGTGGAACACCTGGATACTCTGAACCTTGGCCTTGCAACATTATACGCTCACCATCTCTAGTACCTTTTTCAACTTGAAATTGGACAATCTTTTTACCTGGTGTAATTCTTTTACCTTTACATGTTTTACATTTGTCAGCTTCCTTGATCTTTTCACCTGTACCGTGGCAATCTGGACAGGCTGCTTGGACTTGTTGTACCATACCTGGTCCAATTTGTTTTTTTAAAAAAACGAATCTATTACCTTTACATTTATCACAGGTTGATGTAACTCCTGGTTTATTTGCTCCAGAACTAAAAGATAAAATGAAATATTAATATACTATAATAATATAATAAATTTATTATTATTAATAATAACTTACCCATTGCATGTTTTACAAATTTCGTCCCTATTAATTGAGATCTTAACCAATTTACCATTATATAACTCTTCTAAAGTTCTAAACATTTCATGTTCAATATTTTCACCTTTATTACGTTTGCTTGAACCTCCACCACGACCGCCACCTCCAAACATACCACCAAAACCACCAAAATCTTCATCACCCATACCACCAAAACTAAATCCAGCGCCACCACCACCGCCACCAAAGAAGTGACTGAATAAATCTTCAGCAGATGATGCATGGAAACCTCCTTCTTTCAAACCTTCTGAGCCATAACTATCATACATTTTTTTCTTATCAGGGTCTGATAATACTTCATAAGCTTCACTAATTTCTTTAAACTTCTCTTCTGCTTCTTTCTTACCAGGTCCTTGGTTTTTATCTGGGTGATATTTAATCGCCATTTTTCTATATGCTTTCTTTATTTCATCCTCTGTTGCATCAGGCTTAACCCCTAGTCTTTCATAAAACTCTTTTTCCTATTAAATTTGATTATTTTGAAAAAAAAAAAAAAAAATTAGAATTTCAATATTAAAATTAAGTTTAATATATTAATAAATTAAAATACTTACTTTTACCATTTTTGATCTCTTTTTTTCTCTTCTATCCAGTTTGAATATATGTTAATATTAAATATAAATTTAATTTGTGTAATTTATTATTTTATTTAAATTATTAATTAAACTAATTTAAAAAATATGTTTCTTTATTACTATATTATATAATGTTTAGTAAAATGTATAATTAAATTAAAATTTTAAATTTAATTTATTATAATTATTTAATTATTTAATTATTTAATTATTTAATTATTTATTTAAAAAAAAAAAATTATTTAAATATTTTGTTATTTTATTTTACAATTTAGTTTATATGAAAATAAAAAAAAGTGAAAAATTATTTTTTATTTATAATGTTTTGTTAACATTAAAATTAAAAGATAACAGTGAACTTTTGAATGAATATACAAAAAAATTAAATGAATATCCAAATTAGATAATTTTCAATTAAATTTTTTTTTTTTTTTAAATTAAAATTAATTTTAATTTTTTTAATTTTTTTTTTAATTTTTTTTTAAATTTTTTTTAAATTTTTTTAAATTTTCATTTAGATCTACACTGCCCCAAAACATATAATTTATATATATTTATATATGAATAATAGTATTCCTTATAATAATAAGTACAATTTGATGGGAATGATTTAAATATAGATATTTTCTTTTAAAATAATAAATCATTCTTTTAAAAAAATAAATTAAAAAATAAATAAAAAAAAACAAATAAAAAAAAAAAAAAAAAAGATAAAAAAAAAAAAAAATTTCATTTCTAAAATTTTATATTTATATTTATATCTAAATAATAAAATGGATAGCTAAATATGTAATAATAAAAAATAAATAATAAAAATTAATTTTTTTTTTATTTTTATTTTTTTAAAAAAAAAAAAAATTTTTGTGGGAGTTTAAAAAAAACTCGGTCGGTTTTTTTTTTTTTTTTTTTTTTTTTTTTTTTTTTAAAAAACTGTAATAAAAGTTTTATTTATTCAGCAATCCAATAAGCGATTTTTATTTCAAAACAAAATACAAATAAAATGGTTAAAAAAAGAAATTTTGGAGATATCGAATTTGGTGATGAAGAAATAAATAACAGTGGTGAAGAAGATTTCGAAAATGATGAAGAAATTGAATCATTTGAAGACGACGAACAATCATTAAAAGATGAAGGAGAAGAAGAAGAAGAAATTGAAATGGAAGATGGTGCAGAAGAAGAAGAAGGTTCAAAAAAAGTATGGAGAGCTGGTGTTGATCCATTAGAAGCTGACGAATTTTTAGATTACGATAGTACAGCATACGATATGATGCACTCAATGAGTGTTGAATGGCCATGTCTTTCATTTGCCCCAATCAAAGATTCTTTAGGTGCTCAACGTAAAAAATATCCACACACAATGTATTTAGTAGCTGGTACTCAAGCCGACGAACCAAAGAATAATAAAATTATAGTTATGAAAGCAAAACAATTACATAAAACAAAACACGATGAAGACGATTCAGATGAGGATGACTCTGAAGACGAAAACTCTGACGACGAAGATGAAGATAAAGACGCTGATCCAGAATTAGAAATCAATTATATAAATCATAATGGTGCTGTAAATAGAATTAGAGTATGTATACTTTTAAATCAATGGAGATAGGCACATGTATGTAAATTTAGTTAATTAACACTAAAACTATTTATTATTATTTTAATTAGTCAATGGATTTACAATCAAACATTGTTGCAACATGGTCAGATAATAGAAGTGTTTATATTTGGAATATTCAAAACAATTTGAATGCATTAGATTCAGGAGATATAGCACCAAAACAAACATTACCAATTCACACAATTACAAATCATTCAATCGAAGGTTATGCATTAGATTGGTCACCAAAAGTTGCAGGTAGATTAGCTACTGGAGATTGTAATAATAACATTTATATTACCAACGCAAGTGGATCAACATGGAAAACAGACTCACAAGCATTCAAAGGTCATGAGGCATCAGTCGAAGATATTCAATGGTCACCATCTGAAGAAAAAGTATTTGCAAGTTGTTCAGTCGATCAAACTGTTCGTATTTGGGATACAAGACAACACAAACCAGCTTTAACTGTCAAAGCTCATTCAGCCGATGTTAATGTTATTAGTTGGAGTAGAAATGTTGAATATCTTTTAGTTAGTGGTTGTGATGATGGTTCATTCCGTGTTTGGGATCTTAGACAATTTAAAGATAATTCACCAGTTTCAGATTTCAAATATCATACAGGTCCAATCACCTCCATTGAATGGAATCCATATGAAGAATCACAAGTTATTGTTTCATCAAGTGATAATCAAATTACAATTTGGGATTTCTCTTTAGAAGAAGACACAGAAGAGTTTACTGATGCAAATGATAATCCTGATGATGATTTCGAATACCCACCACAACTTTTCTTTATTCATCAAGGTCAACGTGATATTAAAGAGGTTCATTGGCACCCACAAATCCCACATGTTGCCATTTCAACATCAATTGACGGTTTTAATATTTTTAAATCATCAAATAGTGAAGAATAATAAATATAGGGTTTACTAAACTTTAAAATGGGTGATATAATAAAAAAAATAAAAAAAATAAAAAAAATAAAGAAAAAAAAAAATAAATAAAAAAAATTTATAAAAAAAAAACAATAAAGATAATCCATAAAAATAATTATCTAGATTTAAAAGAATATAATTAGAGGATTCTTAATATTATATACAGGAAACAGAGAAAATAAAGAGTAAAAAGTGGGGGGGTGGGATTTTAATAGATAATAGGTAAAATTTAACAATAACAAAATAATTGTTATTTTCATTTCAAATATTGTCATTTTTAAACTAAAATAGTAGGAAAGAGTATAGAGTAGAAATTAAAGAGTAGAAATAGATTTTTATAAATAAGGAATAAAAAAGACATGGAATTTAATTTTAATTTTAAAATTTTTTTAAAAGATTTAAATATAAAATATATTAAAATTTTATATTTTTTTAATAGAATTTAAAATGAGGGTATATTTTATTAGTTTTAGTTTTAAAGTCGACCATTTTAAAAAGAGCAGTGTTTGTTTAGATTTAATTTGTTGTTTAGATTGATTTTTAAAATATTTATATAAAAGATTTGATTGTTTAGTTTGTTTGTTTGTTTGTTTGTTTTTTTTTTGTTTTTTTTTGATATCTTAATAATAAGGTATAAATTCGTATACGGTTAATTTTTTATCAGTATTATTTGGGATTTGATTATCGATTTGACTAATGCTACTTTCTTCAAATAAATTTGATTTGCTAGTACCAAAATCTATAAATAAAAAGGATTAGTTTTAAAAGATTTAGAAAAATAATTAGTATCAAAGAATGAACATTTTTTTAAAATAAATCAAAAATAAATCTTTTAAAATTAAATATTACATTTAGATAAGAATGAGGTAATTTCCATTTTTTAAATTTATTATATTGTTTATCAATATTTGTTTAAAAATATAACTTTTGGATATTATTATTTAAATATTTTATATTTAATACTAAATATTTAAGAAAAAAAATAATTGATGTTAAATATTTATATTATTGAATAAAATAAAAAATATGTAATTAAAAATTGAAAAAAAAAAAAAATTATAATAATTATAATAATAAAAATAATAAAAATAAAATTATGTGTATTAAACAATTTTTTAAAATAAGTTTTGTTATTAAAATCAATAAAATAGTGGAGAGAGTGAGAGTGTGTAATAGAGTATATTCTATAAAACGAAGAAACAAAGAGAAAAGCAAAAATTGTGAATACCAATAAAATACTGTTGTTAGGGAAAATTTAACTTTAACACCACCACTACCACCACCACTACCACATATTTATATATACGTATTTTTATTTATATATATATAATATAAATATATTAAAATAAGTATATGCCTTTTAATTTTATTTGTGTGAATATGTGTATTTATAACATATTTATAAAAGTTGATAGAATTGTTCATGCAATATATATGGTAGTGCACAAATAATAATAATAAAAAACTGATAAGTAGTGAAAAAAGTGGTAGTTATATTTGTTATTTTTTATTTGTGTTCCTTATTGTTATTATTTATTTTTATTTTTTATAATTAATACACTATCATTGTTTGAAGATACCACATTTAGGTTGAAATAATAACAATAATATATTATTTACTCTTTATATAAAGAGAACTATTTTTATTTTTAAAAGTGTTAGTTGTTTTTTTTTAATTGTAAAGGGTTATATATCTTAACTAATTGAAAATTTATAAGTAAATTTCCCTAAATAATAAATAACATATATGTTTTTGATATAATCGTACATAAAGGTAAACTCTATATACTGTTCAAAATTTTGATAAATAGTTTCCCTAATTGTTCTATATATCTATTTTAATTTAATAATGGTACATTATATTTACAAATCAACCCTATATTATATATCTAAAAAAATTCATATAGAAAAAATAATTACTTACCCCTTTTACCACCATATTTTAAATTGGGAAAAAATAATAATACATCATATAAAAAAAGTATGATACCCCCATAAAACACACACTCGCTCAAATGTTTTTTTAATAATTTGTTTTTTTTTTTTTGATTTATTTGGAGCGTGGTAGGTATTAATTTTTTTAATTTAATAGTTTTTCATTTTTTAATAATTTTTTATTTATAAATAAATCAAAATAATAAAAATAACAAATAAAAATTAAAACCAATTCAATTTAAAGTACAATTCATGATCATTGTTTTCCTATCGACATCATATTATATGCCTTTTATTTATTAAAAAAAAAAAGTTTTTTTAAATTTTATTATTAAAAAAGTGGTTATTTTATCATACCAAAAAGAATCATATTCTTTCATTTCGTCTTTTAAATCTACTCTATTTTCCTAAATAGAGTTAAAATATAAAGTATGTAAATTTTTTTTTCATTTTTCTCATTTTTTTTTATAATTTTAAAATAATTATTATTAATCCATAAATATAACTTCTAAAAATAGATTATTTAAAACTTTAATTCAAATAATCAATTGTTTAAGTTTTTTATTTTTTTTTTCAGTTCATTATAATTATTTTTTTTTTAAAAGTTATTTTTCTTGTCCATAAATGTCAAAATAACCTATTTTTTTTTTTTTTTTTTTTTTTTTTTTTTTAAATATAGAACAAATTAATTTTCAAAATATGTTAGATATATACAAAAATTTAAGTAGGAATCTCTAAGACATCTAATTTTATAATGCAACGTGCACATATTAATTGTTTTTTTTTTTTATTAACCAGTATATAGAAATTAAAGTAAACAATTATTTTAATAAAAAAGAAGAAAAGGAAAGTTGTCAAAATTAAGTTTAAATTTTATTTTTAAATATTTAAAAATAAATGTTTATTAAACACACAAACCACAGACACATGCACTCACATAATCATTAAACACACATTTTTTCAAAATTTTTAAACAATTTCATGAAAATAATAAAATAATAGTTTAATTATTGTAATAATGTTCACCATTCCCACTCTAAATATAGAACTCCAACATTATTAATAATATTGGTATTTAATTAAATTTTGACACCCACATTTTTATAATTAAATTTATATATCTTTTAAAAATCAATAAATAAAATAATAATTATAACAAAACAAAACAAAACAAAATAAAATAAAAAAAATTATATATATTATATAATATATTATTGTTAATTATACATCATTTTATATTTTTAAAAAATAAAAATAAAATAAATAATTATAATTAATATGTTTTGTTTTTTGGTATTATATTTATATAATTGTAGAACCCAGGAAGATTTAATATTTATTTAATTTAATTATCACTATCTTCTTCTTCGCTATCTTCTGGTTCTTCTTCTGCATCACTACCCATTAAATCTGAAAATCTATTTTGTTTTTGTTTCTTTTGAGCTTGTTTTTTCGATTTTTTGTATTCTTTAGTTTCATTTATAATTTCTTGAATTTCTTCTTGTTGTTTTTTCTTTTGCTCTTCTTCAGTTTTTTGTTTTTTAACTTGGGATTCTTTTGATGAATCTTGTTTTTTCTGTAACTTCTCTTGTTCTATTTCTTCAAGCTTTCTTTTTTTTTCTACTTGTTCAGCTTTCTTTTTTTCTAGATCTTCAGCTTTCTTTAGTTTTAATTTCTTTAACTTTTCTATTCTTTGTTTTTCTTTTTTCTTTTCTTTATAGGCTATATTTTCAATTTGATCTTTAGTGTAACCAGAGGACCATTGTTCGATGATGGTTTTATCACGGATTTCAGGCATACGTGGTAAATAAAGTAATGCATAACCAGTTGCTAATAGACCGATATTTAAACGATGGAATATGAAAATATATGGACATAAATGTTCTTTATAGGCACGAACATGTGAAACTAGACCAATAACACCCTTTTCCATAATTTCACGATCCCCAAATGAAATTTTTCTGGCCTCATTTATTATACACTTGGCATCGGTGGCTAATGGAGTTTCTAGTAATGGTACCTTTTTAATCTTTAAAAACTCGATATAGTCCTCTTCCTCTGGTGTCAAAAATACCAATGCATTACCTTCACGTCCCATACGAGCAGTTCTACCAATACGGTGAATAAAAGCTTTTGGATCTTGTGGAGCATCAAACTGTACAACCCAGTCTACATTTGGAATATCTAAACCTCTTGAAGCAAGATCGGTCGATAGCAATACACCATTTTTAGATGATGAGAATGCATCAAATACTTTAATACGTTGGTTATGTGGAGCTTTACCATGAAGTGAAAAAAACAATGATTGTTTATCTTTAAAATCTTTAAGGGACTGAATAACCTTGTAAAAATAATCCACCTCTGAGCAGGTCAAGAAATAAACGATGATCTTTTTATTTGATAAATTTTGTAAAAGGAAATGTACAAGTTGATTAAATTTCTGTTCAATTGGTACCATCATATATGTGTTGTTTAAAGAGGTTGGGATAGTTTGATCTTGTTGTGCTTCAGTTTGCTTTACTGAAATTGTAATTTTGAAAGGATTTCTCATACCTGTTCTTGCCAACTCTTTGACTTCACTTGTTTGGGTTGCTGAGAATAGACCTGTTCTTCTTTGCTTTGGTAACTTTAATAAAATAGAATTGATTTGCAAGTTGAAACCCATCTCTAATAAACGATCTGCTTCATCAAAAATTAACATTTCAAATTCTTTAAATCTAAATTGTTGATCATTTTTTGTTACTCTTGTTAAAAATTCATCGATTCTACCAGGTGTACCAATAATAATATTGCCACCATTATTTTTAAAATTTAATATATCTTGATAAATATCAGTGCCACCAATTAATAATAAACTTGTAATTTCTTTCATATCCTTTTCTTTTTCTTCGCCCTCTTCTTCTTTTTCTTCGTTTTGCTCTTCATTTAATAAATCTTCAATGTCGTATTCTTTTTTTCTATTAAAGTCATTTAAAAACTCTAATAATACCTGTTGGATTTGAATAGCCAATTCTCTAGTTGGTGAAATAATAACTGATACGATATCGTCTTTTTTTAATTGTTGACGAGTTTCATCATTATTTCTATTTAATATTTTCTCTAATATTGGAATAAGGAATGCCAATGTTTTGCCTGAACCTGTACATGCTTCGACTAACACGTCTTTATTTGTTAAAAACAATGGAATAACTGCTGATTGGACTGGTGACATACTTTTAAAACCCAATCTTTCGATGGTTGATAATATTCTATCATTTAATTTTGGTTTAATATTCCAACTTCCTGAATTAACTTTACTTGTCATTTTTTATTTTTATTTTTATTTTCTATTTATTATTGTTTATATTGACGCATATATATTTATATATTTTATTTATTTAATTTTATGAAAAAAAAAAAAAAATAAAAAATTATTTCGTTTTTTTTTTTAAATTTTTAAATTTTAAATTTTTTTTTTTTTTTATAATTTTTTTTTATTTTAAAACCAATTGTAATTATTAAAAATAATTTTAAATCGGAAATAAACAAATAATTATAATAAATATAACAACACACACACACATATATATATTAGTACACATAGTTTATAAATTTAAATAATAATACAATATTAAAATAATAAGAATAATTATATAACTAAATAAAACAAAAATTTATATAAAATCAAATTTATATAAAATAATACATACCACATATGACCAATTTTGATACACCAACAAATAAAAAAAAAAGAACACTGGAGAATCAAAAACAAAAGAAACAACAAAAGGTATTGAAAAAAAGTGAAGAAGAAGAGGTCGAGGTTGAACAGGTCATACTAGAAGAAAAGGTGTTGGAAATTCAAGAAAAGAAACCATTACAACAACAACAACAACAACAACAACAACAAGGATATATTAATAAATTTCAGTTTTTAGAAGATTCAGACGACGGTGAACAAGAAGAAATGAATAGAACATCATTAAAGAAAAAGAAAAAAACAAATAAATCAAATAAATCAAATGTCGAAAAAGAATTTCAAGCAAAATTAAAAGAGACTGAAGAGAAATTTAAATTATACCAAGAACAAACAGAAAATCAATTGGATGGTTTGGCAGAAGAAAACACACCAAAATTAAAAATCATTAGAGAGAATATAGTCATTAAAGATATTCAGTCCTATTTATTATGGTTAATGTTAAGATTTAAAGTTTCAACACCAAATTGGGTATTCACCACCATGTCACCTTTGATATCCAAAGTTGTAGTGGTATCTATTCAAGGCTTCAGTCAATTGATGTATGATAAAGTATGTTTATTAAGCGGCAGGGATATATTTGGCCAAGTTTTTCAAGAGACTAAAGTAGAGTTACAATTACCAAACTACAATCATATTTTCGACAATTTATTATTTATCAAAACACATAAAGCACCCAGACCCGACCCATCTTTCAAAAAAGAAATTGAACCCAAATCATTCTATTTATTAAACGATGAGCAGCTCATCGAAAATGGTTATTTTAATACCAAAGATTTAAAAGAAGGTTGGATATATAGCAAACAAGTAGAATCAATTGTAAATATTTTGAATAACAAGGAAAGTAGCACATCTGTTGGTGACGGTGCCGATCAAGACTCTTTGACCTTAATAAACAACTTGCATACAGAGGTTAAAGAAATGTTGGCTATCGATTGTGAAATGTGCAGAACACAAGGTGGCGAGTTAGAACTAACCAGAATTAGCATCGTTAATGAAAAGAGAAAGGTAGTATTGGACGAGTTCGTTTTACCAGAGAGAGAGATTATAGACTACCTTACACAATACAGCGGCATCACTAAAGAAACTCTAGAAAAAGTTACAAATCGTTTACCAGATATTCACAAAAAACTCTATGAAATTATAGGTCCTAATACTGTATTGGTAGGTCACTCTTTAGAAAATGATTTAAAGGCAATGAAATTCATTCATAGAAAAATTATAGATACCGCCGTTCTATTTCCAACTGGCTCATCTGGTAAATTCCCATTAAAATACTTGACAAAGAAATATTTAAATAGAATCATACAAAATAAACAAAGTGGTCATGACTCTATCGAGGATGCCAAAGCTGTAATGGAATTGGTTCAATTGAAAATTCAAAGAGGTAAAACATTTGGAACTAAATTAGAATCATCAGAAAGCTTTTTCGACAAAATTCATAAATTTGAAAAGAAATCAAGTTTCATAGATAGATTGGACGATATTAAAACCTATACAAGCCAAGTAGTATCATGTTTTGGATGTGCAACCGATAATGAAGTTATAGAAAAAACAATTAAACAATCAAGTGCAAACTCACCAAGTGATTTTATTTGTTGTCAACTAACCGATTTAAATGATCATTTTAAAGATTTACTTCCAAAACCAATTAATATAAATACAGTTTCAAAATCAATGTTAGAAAATATTTTATCAAATAATAATAATAATAATAATAATAATAATAATAATAATAATAATAATAATAATAATAATGATAATAATAATAATAATAATAATAATAGTAATAATACACCAAATGAAAAAGAATTAAAAGATACTCCACTACTAAGTGAAAAAGAAATTAAAGAAATTCAACAACTTGATGGTATTGAAATTACACCAAAGGTTAAATCGATTGTATTCCAAATGGAAAACCAAATTAAAAAACTACACGAAAAATTAGAAAAGAATACTTTGTTAATGTTAATTTTAGGCCCAGGCCCAACAAACGATATAAACCGTTTCAGAGCTGAGGGTAATAAGCAAAATGATTATCTTCTTTCTGTCGAAACGGCTAAAGAAGGCTATGCATTTTTAACAATAAAGCAATAAATAAATAGATAGATAATAAATATACAAATAATAAATGAATGGATTATAATTTTATTTAAAGATTATTTTTATTTTATTAAATATTTAAATTATGTTTAATTCATATTCCCCAAAAGTGCAATAAATAGCCACAGTAATCGAAAAAAAATTAAAATTAAAAAATATTTTATTTTTTTTAAATTTTTTTAAATTATTTTTTTTATTTTTTTATTTTTTTTTATTTTTTTATTTTTTAATATATTATAAACCTTGTTATAAATAATAAATAATAAACCATCATGGAGGATTTAATTAAAAACAATATTTGTAATGATATACAATATATAGATAATCATTATATTAATAATAGAATAGCGCGTATTGAAATCACCACAGAATGGAATTCAGAAAACTATATGGATTGGAGAAACCATCTATTAAAAGAAAAATCAAAAAAATTTTATACTAAGAGATAAAGGTGATAGAAGAGATGAATATCTACAAAAAAGATATCAGATATTAGATTTAAAATATAAAAAATCAAACAATAACAATAGATCAAACAATAATAATACATCAAATAATACATCACCAAATAATATAAATAATATAAACCCACCATCCCAACCACCAACTACAACAACAACTACAACTACAACTACAACAACCGCAACATCAAATAATAATAATAATAATAATAATAAACCAACTCAACAACTTATAAATTTAAATGATTTTTCATTCAAAGGTATGAATCATATTTTTGATCAACATAAAAGATCCATCACAAGAATTAAATTTGGGAATAATAGTAAAGATTTGTTAGGTTTTTCATCAATTGATGGTACATTGTCTATATGCAGAGTATTATCACCACCATCACAAACACAAGTTATAGGCACACTAAAAGGACACCAATCGTCAATTATAGATTTTGAATGGTCACATAATAATCAAGATTTAATTACAGTTTCAATAGACGGTACAATTAAGCTATGGTCTATTATATTAGATCCTTCTCAGCCACTAACAACACCTGCAAATATACAACAAATTAAAACTTTTGGTAAAGAACTATCGATTGGTGTAATTTTATGTATATGTTTACATCCACTAAACAGTAATTTACTATTTGTTTCCGAAGATAAAGGTATATTAAAAGTCATTGATACCAGTAGTGCCAAAGTAATTACAAAAATTAAAACTGTAGCTCCATTTACATGTATGCAATTTGAAGCAAAAGGTGGTTATTTATTTTTAGGTGATGAAAAAGGAACAGTTTTCATATTTAAATACGATCGTGACACCCTATCGTTAGTAAACAAACAACAAGTTTCAAGCAAACCAATCACTTCAATAAATGTACACTATTGGGTTCAAAACCAAAAACAAATCCTATCATTTGTAGTAAATTCAAAGGACTCGTTAATGAGAATATTTATGTAAGTTTTAATATCAATGAAATGGAAATAAAAATAGCTTTATTAATTTTCTTTTTATATAGGGTGAAATCATTATCGACAGGTGTATTTGTATTATTTAGGGAAATACCAATTTCAATTAAAAACTCATTAATCAAAAGTATATTCTCGCCAGTTAATAAAAATAGAGAAGGCTCATTTATAGTATCAGGCAGCGAAGATTCTTCTATTTACATATACGACGTAAACAAAAAAGAAAAACCAATAATTAATCAACTAATGGGTCATGCTTCACCCGTAATCGATGTTGCTTGGAATAGTGACGAATCATATTTAGCCACTGGCGATTTTTCAGGTATAGTAATTATTTGGAATCGTAAACGTTAATGTAAAAAAAATAAAAAAATAAATAAATAAAAATTTTTGATTCAAAAAATCAAATAAGCTGTTTGAAAAATAGGCACAAACGAATGTGTATTGGATAAATAAAAGATACACTTGAAAAACTAAAAAAAAAAAATTAAAATTTTAATAGCTCTGATTTGGTTCACAAAATGGTGCCGTTGCACTCCCATAAAAATGGGTTTTTTTATTTTTATCCCCTAAAATTATAGAAAAAAAAAAAAATTTATTTTAATAAAATAGTTTTTTAAATTTTTTTATTTTTTTTTTTTAAATTTTTTATTATTTTTTTTTTAATAAATTTAAAATAATAATTTTATAATAATTTTAAATTTTTTTATTTTTTATTTTTTTATATACTTATTTTATAATTTAAATAATTGTTTTTTATTATAATAAAATAAATAATAAATTTAATAATATTAATTAAATTTTAATAAAAAAAACTTTTTTTGCTATAGTTTATAAATATATTTTTTTTATTTTTTTTATTTAAATATAAATCGTAGAAAGCAGGTTGTGTATATCAATAATTAAATAAGGTAATAAACTTTAGTTTTTTTATATCTTTTCATTTTTTAAATATTTAAAATATATAATTTTAAATAGATATATATAAATATATAATTCTTTTTTTTGTATAAATGTATTTTTATATTTTAATTTAAAATTTAATTAAAATAAAACAATAAACTAAACTAAATTCAAATAATTAAATTAATTATCTCACTTTTTTTTTTTCCTATTAAATTCAATAATTCGTCTGTGTGTTTGTGTGTGTTATTTTTTTTTTTTTTTTTTTTTTTAATTTTATTTTTTTTTTAAAATAATTTTTATTTTTCCACATAAAAATAAAACATACACATATATTCCACTTATCGAAAACGTTCCACAAAATATAATTAAAAAAAAATAAATAAACTACACCCCACACAAAGATATATTAAATGTGTATATAGGAAAATCTACCACCTACACACCCCTATACATTGTAAATTTATTAAATTTTATTTTATTTAAAATTTTATTTTTATTTTTTTTAATATTTATTTTATTTTATTTTTCTCATTCTCTCAATATCAATATCAATATCAATATCAATTTTAACAATAATGATATAAATTATTTAAACACACATTCACACATATAAATACATATACGATAAGGTAATATTTGTTTTTATAGCACAAAAAAACAATAAATATCTATAGCACAAATTATTAAATTATTATGATAAAGAAAATTTTATAAAAAAAAAAAAAAAAAAAAAAAAACATATAATATATATAAACACAGATAAAAATTCCACTGTTAAATTTTATATTTATATTTTAAAATTTTTTTATATTTGCACATTCATTGTATTTTTTTCTTTTCTCCATTATTTATATTATTGTTATTTTTAACTATACATACAATAAAAAAACTAGTTTACTAATTTAGAATATAGAGTTTTAAAATTTTATAGTTTTTTTTTGTACAATAATAATAATAATAATAAAGAATGGGTTATACATATAAAAGTAATTTCGAAGGTGATATTAGAAGATTTTCAAGTGATTCAGAATTATCATATCAAAGATTAAAAGACAAAGTTTCAAATTTATATAGTTTATATGATATCGAGTTTATAATCACCTATTTGGACGATGGCGATAATATTACAATAGCAGACAATAAGGATATAGAAGAAGCTTATAAAACTATTATTGACAATGAAATTTTAAGATTAACAGTTACAAGTAAATATAGAATAAAGCACTTTTAATATTTTGGATCTCTTATTAATTTTTTTTTTTATTAGGAAAAATAGAGAAAGATACATCTAATAGCAATAGCAATAATAATAATAATAACAATAATAATATTGATTCATTATTTACCCAATTATTATCAAATCAATTTGTTCAACAAATGATACCACAAGTAATGAACAGTTTAGCAAACAACCCAGCTTTAATGACATCAATTATTCAAACTGCTGGTGCAGCATTAAGAAATAATAGTAATAACGATAATAGTTTAAATAATTTAAATAGTTTAAATAGTAACACAAATGAAATTTTAAATAATTGTAATAATAAAAATATAAATTTAAAACGTGCATCGCCTCATCTTTTAAATGCTAGCATCAGTAATAATTTCCATACACACTCAACAGACTCAATAGTTGCCACCTTACAACCAATAGCCGATCAAGAGAATAATAATAACAATTATAATAATAGAATAACATTAACTTCATCTGGTAATGAATCTTGTAATGGTAGCTTTTCATCATCAATTTCATTTGAATTGGTAAATAAAGAGAATGAAGATAATCAATTATATTCAACAAATTCAACATCATCATCAACAACTTCAACCTCATCTGCCTCAGCATTAAACAATAATATTAATAACAATACACCAACTACCCAAAGACCACCATCACCAATGGAAAAAAATAAAGATAAGGATAATAAAGATAAAGATAATACCAATAATACATCGAATCGTTTGTCAGGTCTCCCAAAATCATTCCTTAATATGTTACCATTTACCACAGCTAAAAATGATGTTAAACCAAAAGATGAAAATATAACTACAAGCACAACTAGCACAACACCACCTCAAGCAATTCCACAACAACAAGCAAATATTAATAGTCCAACTCAATCATCACCAAAACAGGAGCACGTTTTATCATCATCACCATCGAAATTTTCACCATTACCACCACCAAACATTTCACATTCACCAAGTCCTGTATTTTCACATAACTTTAATAATCCTTATATCCATTCAACTGCACCAGGCATTAGTATATTGCCACCACCTGCACCAGTTCCACCATCTCATCCATTACCACAAGTTCCACAAACTCAATCGCCACAACCAATTTTAATTCACGAACAACCACAAGTAAATGTAGAGCCATCCCAAAAACCACCACAAGATTTAGATCAATTAAATTTCATTAAAGATGCCCTACAAATCTCTGAAGATGAAGCAAGAAAGTTATTAATCAAACACAATGGCGATGTTCACAAAATTTTTGGAAATTAATAAAAATAATATAAATAAAATTAAAATTAAAATTTTATTAATCTAAAGATTATAATTTATAATATTTATTTAAATTTAATTAGATTTGCAATATTATTATATCGAACCTATTGAAAAGTTTAAACCTAATATGTCAAATATCTATTTATCTTGATTTATTATTTTTATCCTTTATGGATTGTAATTTCTTTCAAAAGTATATTTCTCTATAAATGGATACAATTTTTTAAGTTTATTTTTTTTATACATATAAAATAAAAACAATTAAAGAAACTTTTAAGAATGTTAGTGAAATTTTAACAAATATCAAACTTTTATTGAAAAAACTTTAAGAATTTATCCTTATTTTTATTTTTATTTTTATTTTTATGGGTTTGGTTGATTAAAAAAATTTTTTTAATCAAATAAAAATAATTAGCTGATGGATAGGAAACACTAAATCTTTTCTTCTAATGAACCACTAAATCTTTTCTTTACCTAAAACTATTCGATGATACCATAGTTGCTTGGCCAGAACAATGTCTGATATTCATCAAATAGTTGATTAGAAGGAAAAAATTCATTGGTATTGATTTAGTCCAGAGGTCTTTTGTAAGCTGATTGGATCTTTACCTCTTTGGATTTTGGACAGATATGATAAATTCTTTTAAGTTTATTTCTTTTTTGATTTCTATGAAGTATTATTTTTTTTATCTATTATTATCTATTGTTACTAATAGTATCTATACTATTAAAGGGATTATAATTATAATTTTTATTTATTATAATTATAATTTCTATTTAGATTATTATTTTTTTTTTTTTTATTTTTTATTTTTTTTTTCCCCTATTATTATTGTCACTTGTATAGTTTATAAATCCGCATATTATACAACGGAATTCTATTAAAAAAAAATTAGTATGGGTTATACTGTAAAGAAAAATTTTAAAGTAAATAAAACTTACTATTTGGGGTGACTTCACTTGGAAATCTTGGAATACAGTTTCCACAATTCTCAAAAAAAAGTAAATTTGAGTCGGAAACTAAAATAAAATAAAATTTTTTTAACCACCATTTTAAAATAATAAAAAAAATGAATGGTTGTTGTTTTTGTGGTGGTGGTGGTTTTGGTTTTGGTTTTGGTTGCTGTTGTTGTGGGGTTGGTCCAGGGATTGGTTGTTGTTGTTGTGGAGTTGGTTGTGGGATTGGTTGCTGTGGAGGTGTGGTTGGCTGAGATTGTTGTTGTTGTGTGGTTGGTTGTTGTTGTGGTGGTGGTGGTGGTTGCTTATGTTGGTCCTGTTGGTCTCTATTACTACCATCTAAAAAAAAAAGTTAGACACTACATTACAGATATAATATTTAAATAATGAATACTGTTTGATACCTACTCTTTTTAAAACTTTCATATTGTTCTATAAGTTTAATTGTATGTTGGTAGTCTGTTTCTTTTTTTCTTTCATCAAAAATTTTTTCGAGACCATTATATAATTTAATTTTTTTTCATTATATTTTATTATTTTTTCAAATGAAAATCTATATAAATTAACTAAAAAATAGATTCTAAAATGATAATATAAATGTTAATATAAATAATAAAAAAATATAAATACATATTATTAAAAATGAACAACTTACATCATTGAGAATAATAAAATAAATGCAAAGCACATTGACTTTTCAGACAAAGTGCTGGATGAAAGAATTACTTCGTATAAAACGAATGCTAAAATTATTTCCATTATAATAAAAAAGAAAAAAACTTTCTTATAAATAATATAATGAAATTTTTTAGAGCTATTTAATTGGATCTCCAACTTAGCAATATTAGATTCCATAGCCAATACTTTTTTTTCAAAAATGTTATTCTGAATACAAATAAATCAATAATTAATATTTATTTTTTTTATAAAGTATGTTTATAGTAGATACTTACTTTTTTTGAAAAAATGTTACCCATTTTTTAATTTGCCTATTGCAATAGGGTAAAATATGTATATATTAAATATAAAATAAATATATATAAAATATTTAAAAAAAAAATAATAAAAAATTTTTTTTTAAAAAAAAAAAAAAAAAAAAAATATAATAAAGCAAGACAAAAATTAGTTGATTTGACTTGACTGAAAAACATACGAGAACCTAAGCGGGTTGGACACAAAAATTAAGCTGGACTATTTACAAAGGGCTTTTGATTGATGGTTAGCTTGAATTTAAAAAAAACTAAATTCGAAAAAAAAATTTAATTAAAAAGAGAAATAAATTTAATTTGAATAAATAATAAAAAAAAAATTTAATTAATTTTAATAATAATTTCCTTTTGTAACTATAATAGATTAGATCCAAACTGATTGTAGCCTTTTTTGTACATACTATTAAATTTTTAATCTGTAGCTATCATAAAAGTAGTGATGATGCATTTATTGTTTAAACACATCCCCCCAATAAAAAAATAATTTAATTAAAAAAAATTAAAAAAAATTAAATTATAACCCCACTACCCACTTTTTATTATTATTATAAAAAGTGGCTAATATGTTTGGGAAATGAATTAAATTTTTATTTTTTTTAATTAAATAAAAATGAAAATTACCATATTTATAAATCATTGTAATCTAAATTATTCAAAAAAAAATATAATGATGCCTGTTGAATTTAAACAAAAAAAAATCAACTGTTGAATTTAAACAAAAAAAAAAAATTTATATTTTGTTGTCAATATTTTTAAAATAAAAAAAAAAAAAAATAAAAAAAATTTGATAAAAAAAAATTAAATTTATTTTATTTATTTATAAATTTGATTATTTATCTATTTATTTGATTATTTTTTTATTTATTTGATTATTTATTATTAATTTGAATATTTATTTATTTATTTATTTTATATAAAAATAACTTTAAAGTCATGTTGAGAAATTACTTTTATTTTTTTTTTATAATTTAATTATTATTTATTTTAATTTTTATTTTTATTTATATTTTTATTGAATAAAATTGTATTTTTCATAAAACATTTGTTGTATAAAAACCATTATTAAACCATCCTATTGGTTTAATAATATGATGGGTATTATAAAATACCAAAAAAAAAAATTCTAGACAATAAACAATTATTATTCAATAAATTATGGATCAGAACGTGAAGAGCAAGAGTTGGCAAATACACCAGCAGAAAAGGAGGCTATAAAGTTATTAAGTGGTGATAAATCATATCGTTCAAAGGTTTATGGCAATGATAAATCATTATCAACTAATCCAATTCGAGCCACACCATCCACAGCAACTCTTTGCTAATTAGTTATCCAAATGGAACCTCTGATAGCCCACCTGTTTCATCATCAAATGAAATTGACGATTGAATAAACTAAAAGTTAATGAAGCTCAACTTTCTATCTTTTCTGTTGCTCTGCTACTGTCACTGTCACTACAAGTGTATCACTTTCAAGCAATGACCTTATTAAATTGATGAAATGAAAAATGTTACAGAAGTTCGCGCAGGGGGTAGTGCAGCATTAAAATTTGTAATAAAGTGCACTATGCACAAATAAGGCGTGAGGTGACCAACTTAGCAAAAGGGAAATTTCTTAATTTATACTATTAATTTGAACTCCTACTTTATATGTTCAAACCTTATGGGGGTCATATACTACATTTACCCCACCCTTTAAAGATAACTATCTAACTAATTTTTGGAATGGGTCAGGGAACCCTTTCAACCTGCACCCTCCAGGGATCGAACCGAAGCTGTCGCCAAAATGTAATAAAGTGCACTATGCACAAATAAGGCGTGAGGTGACCAACTTAGCAAAAGGGAAATTTCTTAATTTATACTATTAATTTGAACTCCTACTTTATATGTTCAAACCTTATGGGGGTCATATACTACAAATTCTCATAATTGCCTTAATAGCTCAGTTGGTACGAGCGTGAGACTGAAGTTCTTAAGGTCGCTGGTTCGATCCCGGCTTGAGGCAAATTTTTCCTTTTTTATTCTTTTTTCGAAAAACGTAGTAATCTTCCGGGAGAACAAACACTCAATCATTGAGGTGGATGTTTCCTACAAGTTACCGCTCCGGGTTCGAAACCCAGTCTCGGTAAGTTTTCCGAATCACACACGAATTGACGTTACCGTGCCCAACTTGTATGCAGTGTGGTAAAACTCATATAAGCATTAAACACTACCAAACACAATAAACTGATGACTTAATATATTAAGAATCATCTTCACTTTTAAAAAAAAAAAAAAAAAAAAAAAAGTTGGATGTAATGTATTCATATACATTTTAGAATTATTTATTATCTATCTTAAGTAGCTCCATCTACATTACAAATACAACTTACCGGTTAGGGTCCAAACCCCAGTCTCGCAGATTTTAGACTCATACGAATTGACACTGTGCAGAACTTACACATATAATTTTAAAACATAACTAAATAGTTTTTAAGCTGCACCATAAGGCCGAAATAAAATCATACGAGTATAAAGAACAACATATCAAAAACAATAAATACAATAAATACTGATGCAGTTTTTTTTATTAATAAAAAAAATTTTAAATTTTATTTCTATTTTTTTTCTTACTTTTTTTTTGGATATAAAAAAAAAAATAAAAAATTTATTTATTAATCAAAGATGATTGAAACAATTAAAATAGTTTGTAATGGAGACTTAAAAGTAGGAAAAACCAGTTTTATTAAAGTTTTTATTGATGATCTTTTTCCAGAGGTTTACCAAGAAACAATTCTTTGTTCAATAGATTATAAAAATTTCGAAATTGGGAATAAAAAATTTAAACTGCAAATTTGGGAAGATAATTTTGTAAGGTCAATAACTAATTTAACCAATATAAAGATCAATACTAATTTTTGAAAAAGGGTTATAGAGGTTGCTTCCCTAATGAAAAAAGATTGATTGAAAATACATCAATTGCATTTTTGATTTATGACATTACAAATTTACAATCATATCAAAGTATTTTAAGATATTGCAATGGTTTTTTTAATGAGAAAACAATAGTTACACTTGTAGGAACAAAATTAGATATAGTAGATTTAGATAACAGTAAAAGAAAAGTACCTAAAGAAGTAGTAAAAGAAAACTCAATGCTATTCGGTTATGACTACTTTGAAATTTCTTCAAAATATAACATAAATGTTCACAATTGTTTTTTAAAACAAATATCAAAATTAAGTTTAATAAATGACAATATAAATATAAATATAAATAATGACAAAAATAATACAGCATTTAATAATAATATATAAAGGAAATAAAAAACAATATAAGAAATAAATGTATTTGTATAATAAATTAAAAAATATTAAATCAAAAATAATACTAAATATAGGGGGTGTGGTAAAAATGGGGGAAATGAAATATTTATGTGAAATATTTTTTTTTATTTTTTTTTAAAAATTTCATTTTTTTTTTTTTACATTTTTTTTTTTTTTATAATTAATTATTACAATTTCATTTAATAACAATAATTATAAAAATGAGTGTTAAACAAGTTTTAAATATTGCAAGCAAAATTAAATTAAACAATGGTGTTATGATGCCATTATTCGGTTTAGGATGTTATCAAGTTCAATCTGAAGATATGGAAAAAGTTATTAGAACCTCAATTGACAATGGTTATATTTTAATCGATACAGCATCGGCATATAGAAATGAAGAAGCAATAGGCAATGTATTAGAAAAGATTTTTAAAGAAGGCAAGGTCAAAAGAGAGGATCTATTTATCACTACTAAAGCTGGAACTGGTGAACATGGATATGATAATGCAATCACCGCATTAAATGACTCATTAAAAAAATTAAAATTAGATTATGTTGACTTATGTAAAGTATAATATTATAAACAATGACACTTATTGCTTAACTGTTATTTCTAATTTATTTATCTTCTTATAAAGATCTCATTCATTGGCCAGGTGTAAAGGTAATATTAATATGAATTAATTTCTAATATTATTATTATAATCAACTGTATTAATTTAAAATTTTAGGGATTAAAACCAGAGGATGAAGCAAATTCAAAAACACGTAAAGAAACATGGAAAGCATTTGAAAAGTTATATGAAGAAAAGAAATGTCGTAGTATTGGTGTATCAAACTATACAATTAAACATTTAGAAGAACTCTTATCACATTGTAATATTAAACCAACAGTAAACCAAGTTGAATTTCACCCATTCCTCTATCAAAAGGAGTTATATGAATTTTGTAAAAAGAACGATATAGTATTGGAGGCATATGCATCATTAACCCGTGGTAAGAAATTTGATGATGAAGTTATTGGTGAAGCTGCAAAATCTCTAGGAAAAACCAGAGCTCAATTACTTCTTCGTTGGGCAATTCAAAAGAATATAGTTGTAATTCCAAAAAGCTCAAACCCAGAAAGAATCATTGAAAATGCCAATATTTTCGATTTTGAAATTTCTGATGCCACTATGGAGAAATTAGATTGTGTAGGTGATAATAATCAAACAAGAATTTGCTGGGACCCAACTATAGTCTCTTAAATACCCATAATAATAAATTCAAATTAATATAAACAAATAAATAAATAAATAAATAAATAAATAAATAAATAAATAAATTTTTTTCGATTACCACACTTATGTGTGGTAGTGTTAAATTTATATGGATATCTTTATTTATTTTTTTACGATTTCTAATGTGGGGAGTGGGTTTTCAAATCTTTATATAACCTTTAATATTTTCCTTATTTTTCAAGCATTTAAAAAATATTTAATATTAAAAAAAATAAAAAAATTAATTGGGGTAAGTGAGTGGGTGGTAGTATATAATAAATATAGAAAAAATGAAAAAAGATTAATTTTTTTTAATTTAAATTTAAATAGTAATATTAAACATTAAACATTTATGTTTATTTTAAATGTTTATTTTATCAATACTAAAATGAAATTAAAAATTAGAGGTAAGAGTTTTATTTTTATAGAAATATTAAAAAATAGAATTATTAATAAAATATTCTATAAATAAATAATAGAATCTTTTTGTAAAAAATATGGGTACCAAAATTTATCCAAAGAAAATGTAACACTACAATCGAATTTACACCAAAAAAACTCTGATAAAGATAAAAGTTCTAAATCCAATGACTGGGCTTGGGATATCTATTATTTAATTTACCCAGAACATTATAGAGAATGAAAAAAAGGATTCTTTTTCAAAAAAACAAAGGAAAAATAGAGGAAAAAAAAAAAAAAGGTTTAATAAAATACAAAATCAAAGTTAGAAATAAAATTTTTATTTTACATTTTAATCATATGAAGTTTCTATTTATTTTAAATTTGAGTCATTAAAGACCACCAATAGAAAATAAATCTTAAAATAAAAAAAACGTATTGTTCTATTTTATTCTCCATCCTTCCATGGTCACAACAAATTTTTTTTTATTTATTTTTTTATATTTATTTTTTTTTAATTTTTAAATTTTTTTTTTTTCATTTTTAAATTTTTAGATTTTGATATAAATTAAAAAAAAAATTATAAATTTCAAAATAAATCATTTTATTAATATTTATATACAGTATCTTTTTTTAAAATAAATAAACTAATAAATAAAATGTCATCAATTAATATTAAAACTACAATTAAAAAAGGAAATGTTGAAATTCCACAATTTGGTTTAGGCACCTATTTAGTAGATCCAAAAGATATTGAATCATCCGTTAGAGCTGCAGTCAATAATGGCTATATTCATATTGATACAGCATCATATTATAAAAATGAACAAGCCATCGGTGATGTTTTAAAAGCAATCTTTAAAGAAGGTAAAATTAAAAGAGAAGATATTTTCATCACCACCAAATGTGGTTGTATCGAGCACGGTAAAGAGGAATCAAGAAGAGCTTTTGAACGTTCACTTAGCAAATTACAATTAGAATATATTGATCTTTATTTAGTCCATTATCCAGGAATGTAAGTAATTTCAATATAAAATAAAAGAAAAACAAATTATATACAATTGTATTAATATTAATTTTTATTTAATCTAGGTTAGCTGCAATTCCAAAAGGTGAGACATCATCAAGTTTAAGAAAACAAACATGGGAAACTTTCGAAGAATTATATAATGAAAAAAAGATTCGTAGTATTGGTGTTTCAAACTACACTATTAGACATTTAGAAGAGTTATTTGCACATGCTAAAATTAGACCAGTTGTAAATCAAGTTGAATTCCACCCATTATTAAATCAAGTTGAATTATTAAACTTTTGCAATAAAAACGATATCATTTTAGAAGCCTATGGTTCATTAGGAGGTGGTGAATTAGTTGATCATCCAACTATTGTAAACATTGCCAAACAAGTAAATAAAACAACCTCACAAGTTTTATTAAGATGGGCAATTCAAAAGAATTTAATGATCATTCCAAAATCAACCAAAGAGGAAAGAATCAAAGAAAATGCAAATATTTTCGATTTCGAACTCTCATCAGCCCACATTACCCAATTAGATAGTTTAAATAAAAACAAAAGATTTTATTGGAATCCAGAAGATGTTCAATAAAATATCCATTTATACATTATAAATATATTATCTTAAATTAACTTTTTTTTATTTTTTTTTTTTTTAATTTTTTTTTTTAATTTTGATACCTCTTGATATATTCATACTTTATTTCTTTTTATATTTAATATAGTTTCTTTCTTTTAATAAATATCTATTACCCAATTTATTTTTTTTTTCTTGAAAAAACAATCTGGTGTTATATTAATAATTTTATATTTTATAAATATAATAATATTAAAAAAATAAAATAAAAATAAATAATAACAGACACGTTTCCTCTTTAATTCAATATCTTATCAAAAAAAAAAAAAGTTAAAAATAATTTTTCAAAAAAAAAAAAACCGAAAAATATTTTTAAAAGTGAACATATCGCCTATTTACAGCAAAAATCAGTCAGCCCACACATTTAAAGCTTTAAACAAATGAATATTGGAAATAAAGTTTAAAAAACAAACATACACAGACACATATTCAAACATAATCCCCCCTTTTTTTTCAACGATTGCTTTTTTTAAATTTTATTTTTTTTATTTTTTTTATTTTTTTTTTATTTTTTTATTTTTTTTTTATTTCTTTTTTTTTTTTTTGAAAAATTTTATTCAGTTTTTTTTGTAAGCAAAAATAACAATATTTTTTATATATTTTATAGATTTATAATATTTATAAATTATTTTATTATTATTATTATTACAGATAGACTTTCAACTATTGGGCTATTATAAGTAAGTAGCCTTTTAATATAAATATAATTTTATTTATATTTTCTTATAAATAAAAGAATTAGTTATGTGTGCTGACCAGATCCAAAAAAAAGAGAGATTTTTATTTTTTTTATTTTTTTTAATATTTAAATTTTTTTAAAAATTTTATTTATAAATTCAATCATTGTATTATATATCTTAAATAAATTTATTATTATTATTAATATTAAATATAAAAATAAATAGTAATATAGTTCTTCTCATTTTGCCCAATATAATTTTTATTTTATTATAAAAATAAAGTTGGTTTTAATTTCTTTTATTTATTATATTTTATAAATAAAAGTACTTAAACATTTATTTTATATTTTCTAATTTGTTTTTTTTTTTTTTTTATTAATTTTTTTTTAATATAGGAATTATTACATATTTTTTGCGATAGGCAAAAATAAATATTGCACAGTTTTTTTTTTTTTTTTGTGCTTAAATATATTAATATTTTAACGGTATGTATTTAAAAGAAAATTAAAAGCAACAATAAAAAAATTTGGAAATTAACAACAATAATACAAATAACAACATTAATAGTTTTAATTGTTTCCATTATTTTAATTAAAATTTTTACAATGTAAATTTGTTTGTTTTTTATTTAAAGATCGTTATATTTTACGACATATTCATTTGTTTATTACATAATTGTACATATTATTACTTATAACATTTGTTTTACAGAGTAATGATAAAAATAAATGATTAAAAAAAAAAAAAAGGAAAAAATTAAATTTACCCACAAACCAACCTCCCCTAGTTTCATATATAAACACACACACACACATAATTGAACCCACCACAGTATATACACAACAAACAAGAAAAGAACATTTAATAAAATAACTAATATATAGTAACACACAACTGCATTCAATCTATAAAAAATGTTTCTTTTTTTTATTTATTTTAATTTTAATTTTAAAACAACATAACAGATATATATTTACATATTTTTTTTTTTAATTATAAATTATTGTTTTATAATTATTAATGTAACAAAATTTCTATCTGTTTCACTTGGTTTTAGTATAATATTTGTTTTTAAAGTATTTTAATTTCATTATATTTTTCTTCATTTATTTTTATTTTTAAAAATAACCACTAATTTTATCTTTCATATTTTATTTAATATGTATAATAAATATTATTAAAATAGCTTTAGTATAATAAAATTTTAAAGTAATAGTAATAATAATAAAAAATAATAATAAATAATGATCGAAAATGAAAATCAAATTATGACACCACCATTAATAGTTGACGAAAATAATCAAGAAAATGAACTACGTGATTTAAATAGTAGCTATAGTGAAAAAGAAAGTATGTTAACATCCGTAATTATCAATGATGGAGGAAAACAAATGCCAAAAAAATCATCTTCCCCAAATATTTCATCCTCATCATCACCATTTCCAACTTCACCAACTATATTAAAGTCAAAGTATAAAGAATCACCACCTCTTCTATCACACAATTCATCATATGACTCATCAGGAGATTCATCAGAAGATGAGTCTTCAATGGGTCATCATTATCAATCAAAAAAGAAAAGTGAAAACAATTCATTGTCAATGTCACCAATTTCAATTTTTGGGACAAAAAGAAATATATCAAATCCAATGCTTACCTCTCTGGATTTCAATACTGGCACAATTAACCAAAATAATGATAATGTCCACAGTGGAGCATCATCAAGCAATGGTGTTTACATTCAACATTCAAATCAACAAGAACAAGATTTATCATATTTAAAGAAAGTTGAAAAACAAGAAAATAATCAAGAGTCTAGCTTTGGTGACGATATGTTAAATGTAGATAGAATGATTGGTTACAAGAAAACAATTTATGGTGAAATCATTTACTTTTTAACAATTTTATTAACTGGTGGCGTAGTTCTTTTGGTGTACTATTGGTTTGATAAACTATATGTAAATTTAAGATATAAAAAAGCTTCACTCGAAAAATCAAATTTTGTATTGGTTTATAGTGAAGACTCAAGAACCGAATTTTGTAAAGTAAACTATTTAAATAATGTAAGTGATTGTTTTAGTTATAAATAATAGTATTTAAAATATATACTAAAAAAACTATCACTATTAATTTTTAGGATGAAAAATATATTGTTTTCAGATATTCGAGATTCTTTTTTAATAAACATTTAAAAGAATTTGAAAAAAGCAAATTGATAAATAATTATGAAAAATTCGAACTATTGAAATTAATTCAAAGTGGTTTGTCTAGTGAAAATTATAAAAAGATTTTTGAAAGATTTGGAAAGAATGAAATTAGTTTTCCCATCAAAAATATACCGCAGTTGCTATTGGAAGAGGTATTACATCCGTTTTTTATGTTTCAAATCTATAGTGTTTGTTTATGGATGGCTGAAGAATATTACTATTATGCAGTAGCAATTTTTATCATCGCCACCGTTAGTGCTGTTGTAAGCTTAAGAGAAATCAGATCAAATTTACTATCACTCAAAAAGATATCCTATTTTGTGTGTGATGTTCAAGTATTAAGAAATAATCAAATTCAAACTATTTCCTCTACCGAATTGGTACCTGGTGATATTATAGAATTAAGACAAGATTTCACTATGCCATGTGATGTAGTTTTGTTAACTGGTCAAGCTATTTTAAATGAATCCATGCTAACTGGTGAATCTATTCCCGTAACAAAATATAGTGTTTTAAGCGATGATGAAATTAAACAATTTAATAATGGTCAATTGAATTATCAAAGCGATGTTAAAGATCTATCAAAAGAAAAGCGTTCTCTAGTTTTTGGTGGTACCATTGTTGTAAAGTTAATGTCGTCCTCCTCCACCGAAGATAGAGTATTGGGTATGGTAAGAGATACTTCATTCCAAACTACAAAAGGCAAATTAATTTTAAGTATTCTCTATCCTAAGAAATCTCACTTCAAATTCTTTGTAGAGTCCCTCAAGTTTGTCGGTGTTCTATGTTTCTTGGCTTTGATTGGCTTCTCTTTATCAGTTTGGCGTCTCAATCAGTTGGGTGTCGACGGTAAAACTATTGTATTGCGTGCATTAGATTTAATTACAATTGTAATTCCCCCTGCTCTACCTATGGCAATGACTGTTGGTACAAGTTTTGGTTTATCAAGATTAAAAAAGACAAATATCTATTGTATCTCACCTCCAAGATTAAATATGGCTGGTAAAATTCAAGTTTTCTGTTTCGATAAAACCGGTACCCTTACCGAAGAAGGTTTAGATTTATTAGGTATCATTACCACAAAACTAAGTTTCAAATCCAAAAACTCATTTTCCCCAGTCTCATCACCCTCATTAAATAGCATAGCTGCAAATACTACTGCCTCTAATAATGCAAGTAATAATAGCAACTATTCATTTAACAACATATCATATTTAGAAGAGGGTTTATTTTATAATCAAGACCAACAACCAGATGAGGAAAACAATATATTTAAATATTTAATGGCATCATGTCACTCCCTTAGTATTATCAACGGACAAGTTTCAGGTGATCCATTAGAAATCAAAGTATTTTCTGCAACCAAATCAACAATTGTTGACTCCCCAGGCTCTTCAGGTCAATCTATTGTAGTACCATTGGATGATTGTATTGAATCAACAGAAACCATTAGCTATTTAGAAAATTTCGATTTTCAATCCAAACTTCAGAGAATGAGTGTTATTGTTCAATTAGATAACAGCGGTCGTAGCAATTCATCAAACACAACAATAATGGCAAACAATAACAAACCATCCTATAGCTTTGTAAAAGGTTCACCAGAAATGGTTAAAGGTCTTTGTGTTCAAAATACCATTCCAAAAGATTATGATCAACAATTGGCAATTTATACTGAAAAAGGTTATAGAGTTTTAGCATGTGCCTATAGACATTGGGATACCACTCAAATATTTTCAAAAAGGGAATTACTTCGTAAAGAATCGGAATCAAATTTACAATTTTTAGGTTTTATTATTATGGAAAATAAAATGAAATCCCAATCACCATTAATCATTGATACACTTCACAAAGCAAACATTAGAACAGTTATGGTAACAGGTGATAATCCTTTAACAGCAACCAGTGTAGCTAAACAATGTGGTATTATAAAGAAACATTCAATTTTGTTTATGGGCATAGTTTCAAACAATCCAGCAACTGGCGAGGAAGAGATATCATGGGAGCATGTTTCAAGAGAAGAAAGAGGTGATATTCATCAACTAGATTCAAATACATTATTTTTAGATGGTGATGAACAAATGGTTAGAGACTACAACTTTATTATCACTGGTCCAGTATTTAAATTGATTTATAATCATTATCTTGCAACAGGCTCAATTAGATTCATTACAATGCTCCGTCGTGGTGTGGTTTATTCTCGTATGACACCTGATGAAAAACAAACCCTCATAGAAGAATTACAAAGAATTGGTCTATATGTTGGTATGTGTGGTGATGGTGCAAACGATTGTGGTGCATTAAAAGCTGCCCATGTTGGTATTTCATTATCTGAAACAGAAGCCTCAATTGCTGCTCCATTTACCTCAACAATTACAGATATTTCATGTTGCCCATCTCTTATTAAAGAAGGTCGTGCCTCATTGGCTGTCTCATTCAAGCTATTTCAATTTATGGGAATGTATTCATTAATTCAGTTCACAACCGTAATCTTTTTATATTTCAATGCATCGGTTTTAGGTAATTGGATGTATCTCTATCAAGATCTTTGGGTGATTTTTCCATTAGTATTGTTTATGGGTATGACTAAACCTTGCAATAAATTATCTATTAAACGTCCATCTGGTAGACTTTTATCCGGTGCTATTGTTGGATCACTTTTGGTTCATATAGCTGTCTGTATAGCCTTCCAAACCTGTATTTACTTTTTGGTTCAAACTAAAAAATGGTATAACGCTGATGTTATAGATGAAGAAAATATTTTCTCCTATATCACCACTTCATTATTTATTTATGGTTCATTCCAATATTTAATAATGTTATTAACATTTTCATTTGGTAAACCATTTTTAAAACCATTGTATACAAATTGTAAGTAAAATACTACATATAGCATGTATAATAATAATGCACAAATTATTAATTAATTGATTATTTTTTTTATTTAGTGTTTTTATTTATTACTTATCTTATCGCATTTTCAACAACTATTTTATTATTATTTGTACCAACAGAGGCCGTTTGGGAGTTTTCGCAACTATTGATAGTACCAATAAGTTGGAGATTTACAATGTTTGGTATACTAGTGGCAAATTTAGTAGCAAATGTAACCGTCGAAATCTCTTTCTATATTTATAAAATTAGATCAAAAAAGAAGAAAACTATAAATCTTACACAAATATTTTCAAAAGACTCTCCAAAAGATAACAGAATACTAGAAAACTCTTTATTAATTCCAATAAATGATAATAAAAATTAAAATAATAAATATTTAAATAAACAATACATTTTATTATTAAAGTATACCATATTTTTTTTAAAAAAAAGTAAAGATATTTAAAAAAATGCCTCAAAATAATCAGTAAAAGCATACCAATTTACCCTATGATCTAAATAAGCAAAACAATTTATTATTTTGTTTTATATAATTAGAAAAAAAAAATTAATATTAATATTTTAAAAAGACCAAAACTTTTTTATTAATGCATATTTTATTGTTTTTAGTTCGTTAAAATTTTTTAAAAATAAAAAAAAAAATATTTTTTTTGGGGAAATTTGAAAAAAAATAAAAACTTTTTTTTTTCGTTTTTTATCCCACAAACAAAACAACGATAATCTTGGTATACAATGAAAATATTATTGATTAAACAATTCGAATACTATTCCGCATCCTATCATTTATGATTTTACTGATTAAAATGGGGGAATTTGCGGATATAATAAACTATTTCTTTTTACCAATCAAGGTGACCTTGGGATAGATGGTCAATATTTGAATGCTAAGGAATGGACAAATATAAACATTAAATAAATTAAAGAAAAATTTCATTCATATATTTATAAATTCACTTTTTTTAAATATACATTTATATATTTAAAAAAAGGGTATTTAAGAAAAACAAATAAAGATATATCTTTATTTTTTGTATAAATAGCTCTTAGACAACGACAGTTTTTTGAAGAAAAAAAGTTTGGTGTTAAAAGAGATAATTAACTTTATTTGAGTTTTTTTTTTTTTTTTATTGATTATATAAATACAAAAAAATAGAAAATAAAATTTTTTTATTTTCTGTTTTTTTGTATTTACAAAATCAAAAAAAAATAAAGAAAATTTGGATGGTTGCTTTTTTTAAAACTAATAAAGACACCAACTCAATTAAAGTTTTAAAATAAATAAATTTTTGAAAAAAAAAAACTATTTTTCTTTTTTTTATTTTTTTTTTTTTAAAAATCAGTTGAATTTTTTTTTTTTTTTTTTTTTTTTTTTTTTTTTTTTTTTTTTTTTCACATTTCATTTTTTTATTTTAAAACACAATAGTAGTCTTGTATTTTTATTCATATTATTCAAAATTATTTTTCTTTTTTAATTATTTAAATTCTATATTAATAAATATACAAAAATATAGATATAATTGAAAGGAAAAAAAAAAACTGTACTATATTTATAACACACAAATAATCACCCACAAACAAACACACACAAAATATAATAATATTATTTTTTTTTTAATTTAATTTAAATTTTAAAAAAACACAAATAAAATTTTTTTTTTTATTCATATAATATTTTTATTCATACATCATCAAAAATAAAATTACAATATAAATCAATATATACCAAACATTAAAAATTATTATAGTTTATAATAATTTATAAAAATAAATAAAAAATGTCAAATGTTTTAGCAGAAATGGATGATTTAATGGCAGAGTTGGGGTTAATCGATCAAGGAAATGATCAACCTCCATCAGTTTCAGCCACTACAACCACTACACAACCAATCATGTTTAAAGATCCAAATTTATCAACAGGACCAGGAGCAGATTTTAAAAATCAAGCATTAAATACAAGTGGTGGAATAGTATCTAAAGGACCAGGAGCAAATATAAGTACAGGGCCAGGTATGGTAAGTACAGGGCCAGGTATGATTAGCAGAGGACCAGGTATGATTAGTAATGGACCAGGTATGGTTAGTAGTGGACCGGGCCCAATTAGTAGCGGACCAGGACCAATTAGTAGCGGACCAGGATTATCATTTGCCGCAACAACATCTCCATCAATACAATCAAATCAAAACAATCAACAATATTCAGGCGGTATTACAAATACTATAAATTTGGTTCCACAAAATCATCAATCATCATCATCACCACCAATGAACTCACAACAAGCAATGCCATCTTATATTGACGGATTAGGTACAGTAAGTCCCATTCAATTGGCAGCAACTACACCAGATGGACGTTTAGTTAAAGCAAATGGTCCAATTTGTGGAGCATGTAACGAAATGATTATTGGTGTAGCAACCAATGCATTAGGACGTTCCTATCATCCAGAACATTTTGTTTGTACCTATTGTAAGCTACCATTCGCAGGATCATTCGTCGAACACGAAGCTAAATTGTACTGCGAAAATGATTATTTAGAGTTATTCAGCCCACGTTGTAATGCATGTGCCAAAGCAATTGAAGATACATGTATCACTGCATTGGGAAATAAATATCATCCAGATTGTTTCAGTTGTTCAGGTTGTGGTGATAAGCTTCGTGGTAAACCATACAAAGAAGAGGACGGAGAAGTTTATTGTAACACATGTAAAGTTGCAAGACAAAAGCGTTTAGCAGCTAAATCACAAATTTGTTCCAAATGTAAACTACCAATTACTGGCGAATATATTCTCTTACAAGGTCAACCAGTCCATTCTGAACATTATCGTTGTGAAGAGTGCGGTTGTGAATTTAATGTTGGTAAAACCTGTCACGAATATGAAGGTCGTCTCTATTGTTACGAAGATTATCAAAAACAAATTTTAAATATTTGTGGTTCTTGTGCTAAACCAATTGTTGGCCGTTCCATTACTGCCTTAGGTAAAGTTTGGCATCCAGAGCATTTTACATGTACAACATGTCAGGTACCATTTGCTGGTAGTGCTTTCCGTGAACATGGTGGCAAACCATATTGCGAATCTCATTATCATCAATTTTTTGGTAGAATTTGTTTCAAATGTTCCAAACCAGTCGTTGATAAGGGTGTTGAAGTTTTTGGTAAAATCTATCATCGTGACCATTTCACTTGTACAGGTTGTGAATGTTTATTAGGTAAAGAAATTATGGAATGGGATGGTAAACCATTATGTTTCAAATGTTATGATGCTTTACCAAAAGAAGTTAGAAAGAGAATTAAAGAAAAGAAAGCAGGTGATAAAAAAGCAGAAGCCTTCCGTGACAAATTAGCCAAAAAAGAAGCAAAAGAAAAGAAAAAGGAAAAAGAGAAATTAGAAAAAGAAGCTAAAAAAAATAAACAATAAATTAAAATAAAATTTAAATAAATAAAATTAGAAATTGTATATTTTAAAAAAAAAAAATAGATTTAAAAGTTTGGTTTTTGTGTGGGTAAAAATTTAATATAGAAATTAAATTATTACATTTTAAAAAAGATAATAGTTTTTATTAAAAAAAAAAAAAAGAATATCTTATATATATATTTGAAAAGTATTATCATATTATTATTATTATTATTACTATTATATTGGTTATTTACTATAAGACTATATTATATTATTATTTATAAACCTTTGTTGTAAATAAATTCATTAATTATTTCACCATTTTTATCTTTAATGTTTCTAAATTCTGGTTCTAAATCTTTTGCTGAAATAGTTGATTCTTGTGGGAACATTGCAATTGCAGCTGGAAGTGATGTATTAAAGATAGCAGCAATTACAGCAAGGTTTAATGGCATTTTAACTTTTGGATATTTTTGTACAAATTTCATTCTTTCAAATAATGACATAACCATTGGTGGTAATAATAATGCTGGGAAAGATGTTGCTGCTCTAGAGAATGCTACTTTATAGACTGCTGATTTACCTGCTTCTTTTGATTTGCCATGAATAACACCATCTTTATCTTTAACATCAATACCATTACTAAATTTTATAAAAATAAAATATTAATATCAAAAATTTCTATTTTGTTATAATTATCTATGTTATCTTATTTCTATATATATATATAAGCTACATACACCATTTCATTTCCTCTCATAATTAAAACATTTGCAATACCAGCTGATGTAACAGCAGTGAATGGTACCATCATCTTTAAACCGTTTAATATTGTTTGATTGGCGATTGGTAATTTGTTTACTGCATAACCCAAACCGACAGCTAATGAACATGAAATACCAACAGCTGAACCATAGGCTTCAAGAATTTGTTTATTTGACATTGTATTACTTGCGTTTCTATTTGCGTGATTTAATGCTATATTATATGATTGATTAATCCATTGCCAAAATATGGTTGTACCGATTGATGCGTTTGGTAAAATTAAACCTGCACAAACTATAACATTAATTGGTAAAAATGAAGACATACGGAATGGTAATGCAATTGGGTTACCTGTATCTGGGTGAATGGTTGCATCAACGACTATAATATATAATAAATGAAATTACTGTTGTTAATATCAAGTATATTATGAATATTTCAAACCTAATAAATGATATTTACTTTTCTTTGCTTTCCAAAGTTCTTTATTGTGGGTTATTGGGTTTACTAAACCTTTTTTAAAGTTATCTAATAATGTTTTTGATTCCTCTAAATCCTTTGAAGTACAAAACATTGTACTTGGGTCGGTTATATCTCTAAAATTTTGAAATCTTCCATAAAAAGTACTATCATCATATTTCTTTCTAACTAAAATAATATAAAATAAAAAATTATTTATTAGTCATTTTCTTTGATTTTTTTATGCTAAAATTTATTTTTTTTTTTTTCGTTTTTTTTAAAAAAAAAAAATATGTTGTAAATTTATACTCACCACCATCAAAAATTGGTATGCCATCGCTATCACTCTTTGTAACTATATTATTTGTATTCTCTGTGGACATCATCTTTTATTTATTATTTATTGTGTGTATATGTAATTGCGTTTATTGTTTTTGCTTTGTTGGGTTTTTTTAAATTTCAAAAAAAAAAAAAAATTTTAAAATTTTTCTTTTTTTCTTTTTGGTGCGTATTGTTGGTGATAAAAAAAATATTTTTTTTCGACCAGTGCGGTTGTATGAGTATTGAGATGAAATTTACAAAACTAAATTTTATAAAAAAAATTTTAAAATAATAAAACAAAATAAAAAATAAAATAATAAAAAAAAAAAATATCAAAAAAAAAAAGAAATTTAAAAAAAAAAGAAATTTAATAAAGAAATTTAAAAAATAAAAAAGGTGTGTAAAAAAAAAAATTGTTTAAATAATTTTAAAAAAAAAAAAAATAAAAAAAAAAATTAAATAAAATAAATTAAATAACAAAATCTCCAATAATAATTATCACACATATAACCCATTTAGAGTTAAATTTTTTTTTTTTTTGTTAATATGCTGAAAATTAAAAACACCACAAAAAACACCACAAAAAAAAAAGATATATATAAAAAATTTAAATACATTTATTTGGTAAAAAATAAGAATATTTTATTATGTTGGTAAAGTTGCCTCTATTTCTTCATTAAAAATATTATCGCTATTATTTCTTTTGGAATTACTATTTACAATTATACTATTATTATTATTATCATTTAATGATGATGATGATTGTAGTTGTTCATCATATTGTAGAGTAGGAGAGATTTCATCTTCTACCAAAAGAGTTGATTCTATTATCTCTTCTTTCTCTTGACTTTTATTTGTATTAGTATTAGTATTATCACCATTATCATCACCATTATTGTTATTACAATTAATATTATTATTATTATTATTATTATTATTATCATTATTGTTAATGATTGGAATATTATTACCACTACTACTAAATCTTTTATTATAAGTATTTACAAAATCACATACTTTTTTATCAAAATCGTTATTATTATTGTTACCATTATCATCTACATTTTTATTAATTGAGATGTTATCTTTAATATTATCACTATTGTTGCTGAGGTTTGATCTTGGGGTTACATTATTTATTAAATCATCTATATCGGTGTTATGATCATTATTGTTGAAATTATTATTATTACTTATGATAGTAGTTGTTGATTTATTACTTGAAAAAAATATATTATTTATACTATTGTTTAAACTATTTGATCCACTATTGGTATTGCTTTTTGGTTTTTTTTCGCTATTACTGTTATTTTCAAATTCCGATTCAACAAAATCTAATAAGTCAATTTGCTCTGAATCAAAATCTAATGATGGTAATTTTCTTTTTTTTTCTAATGAGTTTGAGGTATTTATTGAGGATGATGATGGTGTATTGTTTGGTGATGGAAATATTTTTGTTTTGCTTGAATGTAATTGTTGCTGTTGTTGTGGTTTTACTTCATTTGGGCTTATAGCTCCACTAGATGAGGATTTGAATATTGTAGGGCTGTTTTTAATTGGATTGCCATCAATAGATGCTGATAATTGGTAAGTACCATGTTGTACAGGGAAAAAACTAACACCTAATATACCTGGTCCAGTCACAAATGTATAGATTGGATAGTTTGAATCACCATTCGATAGTAACGGCCCATCGCATTGAATTTTTAATGGGGCTGATGAAATTGGACCAAATCCAACTAGGTTTGATGTGGCAATCGTTGACACAGGGTTATCTAATGCATCACGTAAATGAATTTGAGTTGATGTTACACTACCTGTGGTTATACCAATAGGCTTGGCTTGCGAAAACATTGAGGTTTTATAATGAATACGAGAAAGTGATGGATCTAATTTGGTTGATGAGGAAGATGGTGAAATTGATGGAGATGTTGGTGAGTGCTGTAGTATTTGTTGTTGCTGATTCAAAGGGGTAGAATTGACACTAATATTATTGTTGCATTTGTTTGGTGTTATATTTTCATTTGTTGTAAATAGTTTGGTTTTTTGTTGTTGTGGTGATGCTTTCATGTTTTTAATTGTATATGATCTATTTGTTTTGGGTGTTAATATTGTTGCTTCGGTTTTTGTATCGAGAAGAGTTGGTTTAAATTGTGGTGATGTTGAATATGATTCATCATGTGGTGATGAATCCTCATCGGTAGAGTCATCTTCACGTTGTTGTTTTTGTGTTGCAATTGTATGTTTTTTATCGCTATCTATTTCAGAGTCTGTTTCTAGAGCATTTGTACTAATATCTTGATTATTATTTCTATTTTTTTTGTTATTTATTATATTTGTTGTTGTTGTATTGTGGTGATGTGATTTACTCTTATAAGGCATTGAGTTTATGAAATAGTTAAATTGTGGTAGTGTTGAGGATAATGATATTGGTAAATTTAAATTGAAAAATTGTAAATATTGATTAGTGTTTGCTGGATTGTTAACTATTATATTTATTGGAATTTTATTATTATTGCTATTCTCTTTTAACCAATCTAATAGTTGTGTAATACTTTTAATATCGATATCGTTATCTATTATAATTCTAAAGTAAGAGGCTGGACAATTTAAATATTCTTTTGATGTTTTTAAAAAGGAAATTAACATCTGAATATTTGGTTTATTTATCAATTTAACCTTGCACTCGTCTAGTTCTTTTAATGATGTTGAGACACCAACCCAAAATGCGATAGGTTCAATGGGTATTTCTGGTTGCTGTTGATCTTGTTGTTGCTCTCTAATTATAAACATTTGAATTAAAGCTAATAATTTAATTAGTTGATGTAGACTATCGTTTATAAAAGGTGGTGTAGTGGTTTGTGTTATTGTTGGTTTTTTGGATATAAATAATCCTGAATCTAATATACTATATTGTGATGATTTATTATTGTTGTTTAATTTTGTTGGTGAGGATATAATGGTTGTAGTTGTAGTTGTGGCCGCTATTGTTGCAGCGTTTGTTGTTGATTTTTTTTTTTTTAATGTCTTTGTAAATATTGTTTTCAACCCATAGTGAACCATTAGATTTTGAAAATCATCAATACTTGAATTAAATTCCCTATCAAGTTCCTCAAGGTTATTACCGCTGCCACAAAGTGATTCATTTATCTCTATTAGTTTTTCTTTAAGAGTTTCTAAAGATTCGCTAACGTTGATGATATCAATGGATTTTAGTTCTGATATTAAATAATCTAAATTATTTAATAATAATTTAATATCTTCCATTATTTGTTATTTCTCCCCTCTATTATGGTTATTTTGTTATTAACACACATATATGATATATATAAAAACATAAATGATAGAGATGAAATATAATGGGGGTAAAAGAAATTTTTTTAAAAAATTAAATTTTACCCAAAAAAAAAAAAAAAAAAAAAAAAAATTAAAATTTAAAAAAAAAAAAAAAAAAAAATGTTTGGTAAAAATAAAATAAAATAAATAAAAGTAAATTTTATTAGATTGATTATTTTTTTGGTTTATAAGGTTTATCTTTGGTTTTTAAAAAAAAAATAAAAAAAAAAAATTTTAAAAATTAATTTTTTTTTTTAAAATATTTGATTTTTTAAAACCTTTTTGGAATTCCCCAAAATAATGAAGTAAAAATTTATTTAAAAGGGTATATCATTACATAAATTCTTTTCATTCATACAAAAAGAAAAGAATTAATGAAAAACATATTACCTGATAAAGAAAACAATTACTTATCTATACATAAAAAAAACTTTTGTGTATTTCGATGAATTTACTCAGAGTTGTTATAAATAAAAATAAAGAGTTAGTTTTGAAGAATGATCATAGATAAAATTTAATATGAAATACTTACTATATATTATAGAAACTTATATATAGGTATATTAAAGTAATGTTATAATTTTTTTACTAAATTTTTTAAATTTCAAACCTATGGCACAAAAAAAATTTTGTTTTGGTTGGCTTGCATCATAAATTTTCATATTATAATTATTATTATTGTTATTCATTAT